GCAGAGTTGCTAGTTTAGGGAGGAATTATACTGGGTTTCAGAACCGATTTGCATGTTCATATCGGAACCATGGTACTCTAAATTTATTTGACGTTTGTTTAGGGGGCCATGGGAGCAGAATATGTGTTTATGGATGATAACCCCCATCTTCATCGAGCATACATCGTAAACAAATGTTTTCTATTTGAGGATAACATCCGTAGGGAATGACCAGCATTCTCATTTGACTTGAATCCGATAGAGCATGTGTGGAATATGCTTGGTCTACGAGTTGCAGCTCGTCAATCCTCTCCTACAGGTGTACTGGAACTTTGGAAAGCATTGCTTGCTGAGGGGAGTACTCTTCCCCAAGATAAGCTCTATAATTTGATAGTGTACTACCCATCATATCAACCATATAATACGTAGTTTCTGTAAAAGAAATATTTTTTATAATTGCTCAAAATTGTTATTTTTATGAAAGGTTTCATACATGCAGTATCTTTTTTTTTAAATCCTTTGTTTAATATATGGGCTTTATGAATAAGTTACATTTGTTTTGTTTCTGAATCTTTATTTGCTGGAGCTGGTATTATCCTTAATTTATGGACATGAGTGTATTTTTTAAATAAAACACAATTCATTTTATATAGGATTCCCTTTATTTAGTAATTTTTTACATATTTATATACGCATTTGAATATATACTTTAAAATTCTTTAAAGTTTTACTTCTTCAAAATACTTTTTTTTTCTATATTTGTTACATTGTCAATGTTTCATAATTTAACAATTCTTTCTAAATCTTTATTTATATCTACGCGTTTGAAAATCTTTCATTATTTTATTCAAAAGTATGAATTAAAAATTGCTTTAAATATTTAGTTTTTAATAATTAGACAAAAAAAAATATGAAAAGTGTCTTTGTTAAATCATTTTTATTCGATTCTTAAAATGTCAAGACAAATGTAATCTACAGAAAACATTGCCTAAAATGCTTTAGTATGAAAATTCTTCCGTTGCACTAAATTGCACAATTTTGATGTCTTCTATTAATATATACAGATTATTAACGTTATTTTCATAAAAGATACAACTAAACTACAGTTCTATAGCTTCTTATCAGTTGCTTTTATGATACAATTCGTGTGAAAGGTAAAAATTTCTGCTCACATTTAAAGCTTTCGTATAAAACTGAAATGTTATTGCAATTATTTTCAGCTCGTCATTAGGGGCTTTACTGAACAAAAATAAATAAATAAAAACAATGAGGTAATAAATAAGTGTATCCATGAAAAAGGCAAACATTTCTATAAATTAATGTTTTATGCTCTATATTATGATAATTGTCAATCATTTTATGAAATGATTTTGTAATACATATTTGCAATGTGGACGTCCTGTTTTCTTTATGGATTGGAAACTGGTCGATAGAAATCCTTTCCTTTTTTAGAGACAAATTATTTAGGGTCTGTATTCATAACTTGATACAAAAATAATTCAAAGATAAAAAATTATGAATAAATTAAGATTTTTCAACCTACATAGTTTAGTTGCTTCTCTGAGCATATTAAGTCCTGGTGGCAGAAACACTGCAGCACGACAGCGGGTGCTGCAGAATTAAAAAAGTTCCTGTCAATTATTTTTTACCTCAGATATTTTTTAGAAAATCAGGATGCAAAGAATTCATAAATGTCTAAAAACTTGTGAAATCTTAAACTTATAAAGTTATTTGTAGACGCATAAGCAAAAGAAGATTTATGTTTATAAAAATTTCAAATGTTCTTAAACTGAAGTTTATAAAAATCCTATACAATCTGTAATCAAACGGCTATTTGGTCATATGTTATATAGAAATTCATTTTAATCTTTTAAAGTTTTATTGAATAAGGTTTTACAAGTTTTTAAGAGCATAATCTTTTTTTGAACAGTTTTTAACTATTTGAAGCAAATTTTGCTAAATACGCGTTAGATGAATGTTTACAATAACAGTCTCGGTGCTGCATTCATATTTATGAATATTGTTCTGTTGTCAATTGCCACCAGGATATAAAGAATAGAGATGTTGTTACACTGTGTCCTTTAAATACGACCTCATCTTAATTAATAGTTTCTATTGCACCCAAATTTCAATCAAACTTAATTACTTTATTAAATGGTTCTTACAAATATTTTAAAATTTACATAGCTCCCTAATATGCGACACCCTATTTTAGACTTAATGAATTCAACCAAGAAACAACCAAAACACGCGAAACAGAAGCCTACTATTGACTGTAGTGTGGGCATGAGGGTTGCTTGAAAAAATTGCCCAGTTTTTTATCTCGTCATTTAAGTGTATTATTTTGAGACAAAAGTGAGGGAAGTACGTTTAATATATATTTTTTTGTCTTAAAATTGTCTATAAATCACCATGGTCAAATATCAAAACATTTTGAGCTAACTTATTTAACATATTTTGGTACTATCACGTATTAAGACACTTTATTACATTTTGCCGGCTTGTTAATATTTTTATTTTTCGAAATAGCACTATGGCACTTTTCATTTTTGAAAATTTGGCTGCTCTTTAATAATTTAATAAATATAATAATAAGGAATATCATAATAATGAATATCATAATAATTGTTGCATTTTAAACTTAATTTTAAGAAAGAGTGTCTCATTTTAAGGCAAATTAAAATTTTTCATGGGAACATGTCTCTATTTCGTACAACAGTCGAGTAAATTTTTGCAAAGCTTTCTTCGACTCTACAGCCCTGTTATAATCTAAAAACTTCACTTTTCTTAGTATTCTAACAATATAAATTTAGGGGGTAAAAAACCACCTCGTCTATGAGCTATGGGTGTATAAACTATGAGTAAAAATGTTGAGAGGTGGGGCAGCAAAGTTACTTTAATTTTTCATCAAAGTTACTTTAAAATCAAGATTAAAGTAACTTTAATCCAAGTTACTTTAATCTTGATCATTATAACTTAGGTTAGAAGAGTGCTTCAGTGAGACAAAAACAATATTAAAAAAAGATATCACTATTAATGAATTGTTCTAATGATGGGATTCTCATATATTAAAAATCATTCTTTTTGGTTTTTATCTCAAGAATGCTTGTTAATTTGTGGTTCTTAGTAAGCTACAAAATCAAACACAAAAAATTACTTTCTTTGAATGGAGTAGCACCTCTGCTAAAATATGGTTCAAATAAAGCGGTCGAAAGCATGAATTCCTTAATGTTAATTTTACTTGCGTATTTCACCATATCTCGGGAATCTCTTACGCAAATCACAAACTTTTTGCTCAAAATCAAAAAAATTTTTTACTTAAAGATAATTTTTAATAATTATTTATTTTTATGTGTTATTTCATTCAATAATTGTCCAAAACATTTAAAAATGCAAAGCATCGATATTTTTTTTTTTGTATAATTTTAAATGATGTAATTTTTAGTGTAAAAATGCAAATCGAAACCAGCGGTATAGTTTGAGTTAGAAAATGTCCTACTTTTACATTTTTAATTTCTTGATCATTATAACAAAATCAGTTATGACTCTTTTTTTTATTGGTTTTCAGTGTATTTTTGTATAACAGAAAATCCTTCTGTATTTCTTGTATCATTCATTTCAGAAAATTTTGTATCTTAGAATGGCCTGTAGCAATGCATGTATTATATTCTTTTAAAGAATTTTTTCCAAATTTTAAATGTCTTAAAATTTTACGAAAGACCCTTTTTAGTAATTTTCCGTTTTTCAGAGTTATTTTTTAACCATTTTTCTTTACATTTTGCATTTTATTAGTGAAAATATCTTTTGAAAAACAAATCTTAATAGTATATTTGGAATAACTTAGAGTACTTTATAATTTAAATATTTTCTATCATTATTAAATAAAGTAATAAAAAGTAATAAATATAATTATTCTTAGTGAACGATTTAATGCTTTTTTTTTAAATCTAAAATAAATATTTTTACTATAAGAAGTACGAAAAACATTTCAGCTTAAACATTCATTTCTAAATTTTTAATATTACGTAATTTTTAAAAGTATTAAACTATATCTTCCCCGTTCATAGTAAAATCTTGTCTCTTAATATTTCAAAACATAAATTTTTGTTTTCAATCACTTTTCATAATTATTCTTCAGAATAAGCGAGAATAGGACATGAATACATTGAGTTGTGCTTGAAAAAAAAAAAAACACGCTATTATTTAATTATATTTTTTTCAGAGAAAATTGGTAAGAATTATTTTCATATAAACTTGAATGCTGGTCAAGACTTGTCTAGTTTCATTTCTTTATCTTAATGAATTTCAAGTAATGTAAATGATTTTTTTATCGCTTTTTTAATTTTAGGGCAAAATACAGGGTGTCCGAATAGTCGGGGAACTATCAAATATTCCAAGAACTACACATCGAATCAAAAATCTGAAAATAGTTGAGTGAAATATTTTCAAAAACTGCATTGAATGTTAACAAGCTATACTCCCAAACTCCCCCGATGAAAGTATGGCGGAGACTGGAGAAAAAACATCAATGCATTTGGTTCACAGATGACGCTGCAATCGCAAGCATGAAATGAGGTACAATTTGTTTGAAATGGAGATATCATAAAAAATGAATGTCAGATAGAAAAAACAAAAATAGATGTGTTTGACCTTTTAATATATAGTATCTAATGAAGCCAAATTCAATACTCTACCCCAAACATAAAATCGAATGGATGGGGCCTAGTTTAGTTTTATGTGAAATGTATTTTAAAAACGTTTACTATAGTGACGATAACAGATAGAATCTCGTTATACAGTAAATTGAAAAGCAATAATGAGCCAAATTTAAACTAAATGTTGGTCTTTTTTGCTATGCGTTTCATTTACTATAGCATTTTATAATTCATAAAAGAAATGCATGGCTTAATTATTAATATTTCAAATAATTTTATTCACTTTTTATAACGTTTTTTCTCAATAATATTTATTCAAATTCAATTAAAATTATTTAATTTGTTTCAAATGTATAATCAATCCATAATTCTGGTTAAGCTCAGAAAAAAAATTATGTATGTCATAAAATTTTTTAAAAGCTCGTGGTAAAGATATCAACAGTAATATCTCTAGTATTTCTGTTTCTCATACATCTTTTTTAGCAATATGAATGTTTTGTAGATTCAATAATATATTTGCTTTTAAGTTCACTAAAACTGCTTTTGTGTTAGTAAAACAAACTAATCTATCGACCAGTTTCTAGAAGAAAGTTTACTAAATTCAAGGAATTAATGTGCCAAAGGGATTTTTAAAAAAATAATTGATTTGGCACTGCTATAAGAGAGTTCAAGTCATATCCACCCAGTTCTCATCTCTTTGTTTACAGGTTCAATACCATAAACTGTGGATATTAAACCTAAAGTTCCGTTACTAGGTTTATGAGGACTTACAGGTTGACTAGAAACTATGGGATCGTTAGTAATAGTTGGTGTAGCATCATCAGGCGTTGTGGAACTATGAGAGACATCTTTAACTGCAGGGTCTCTTCTGGAAGATGCCTCTTTGTTTGAAGCTCCTTTCACTACTATTTCCTCTTCGATGTGGACTGTAGGCACTGGAAAACGTTCCTGCAATCTTAATTTAGGTGTTTCAGGGGAAGACGGCGAATTTAACGTTGAACTTCCATTTGGTGGTGCCTCCTCTACACTGTCGATGTTTCCCGAAAGGGTACTAATTGTTTGGGCGCTGTTTTGAACCGAAACACTTACTGATGGAATTGAAGCATATGGAGTTTTACCATGTGATCGCATGACCAATTGGTGATGCTTTGGATTAACACTTGGCGCTGGTGCACTTACTGTTCTGCGTGCTTTTGGTTTCTTTCCAACATCACCATGATGCAATCTGGTTTGAGGAGGAGGTTCTAAATGATGTGGAAGTCCTCTTTCGGGAGTTGTATCGTGAAAGGCCATTCTGAAACGGGAAGGGAATGAGAGCATACCAAGTTTGCTCGTTAATTTGGACCATTTTAATGCAGGTGTATCTGTATTTGTAGCCCGATCACATTTCATTAATTCATCATCACTGATCACAATTGCGACTCCTTCGGTGCTTCCTTCTTGTCCAGTCGCAGAACCAGCGAGGCTATTTGATGACTCACTAGAGGTAGTATCGTTGTGCGTAGCTTCTGCCTCAGATGTTACCTCAGAACTAATTGATTCCATGCTCCTACTTCTTAGACTGTCTTGATTTTTACCTTTAGAGCTTCTTGAATTCCGTTCGCTATATGGCCACTTACCCCCTCCTCCTTGTTGACGCTTGGCTTGTTTTTTGCCGTTTGCTAAATTTGCTAACTTCAGCCATCTAGTTCTTGGTGATTTTGTTGCTGCTTCTAAGTCTGATTTCTGACTGGATTTGTTTGGTGGTTGTTTTACGACGCCAATATCAAAACCTTTCATCAGTCGACGTTCTTTTTGACGACCTTTCTTTCCTCCTGTTCCTGAAATAATACGAAAGAATATTACCCGCTTCACTTGGTCTCTTAGGATAATTAAACTTTTTTTAAAAGCTTACAATGCATTATTCCAAGTTATATTGATAACAACAAAAATTAATTGCCCAGTTATTGTTTTTTTTATATTTAAGTAAGCAATATTTTAAGGGATCATAATTTTCGATTATGAGAATTTTCTGTATTTTTATTTTTTTCTCTGCTCCCTTTAAATAGCTTTTAATAGGTTTGTTTGATTTCTCTTTTCAAATAAACGTTGCTGTTTTTGAGTTATTGGTAGCTCGTTGCATTTGATATATTATGTCTAATTAAATTCTGTAATCCCAGCATAGCATTTTTTTAAACAACATATGAGTTTCTAATTTATTAAATAACAGTCAACGAGAAAAAATCCTTACTTTCGATTTAACGCTCAGGTTACTACGTATTTTTCCGCACATACCACGGCTTTCCTTCATATTATTTAACATAAATATTTAGAAATCAAATTTAAAATTGCGTATTTTTAAATCCTGAATTTACATTCAAATTTTGATTCTGTTATATGAAATTACGTAAGTAATATAAAGTGGTATGCTTCATAGCTCAAAACTACTTCGATCAATTGTTCTTTGCTTACTGTGAATTTAAGAAATTTTTGCAGTATATACAGCGTTTTTATGAAATTTAGACGAGTAAATAAAAAATTATTAGTTGTTGTTGTTGTTGCTAATTCCCATCTGGTCTGACGGGGTCAGACCAGATCAATGAATCCGTTGATATTCAGAAAATCCGAAACCAGAATGGGAGAGGAATGAATGTCATTCCAGTCCAGCCCTAAACAGTTCAAGATGTGCTCAGGTGATGCCTGGTTTTGTTGGCATTTAGGGCAAAGAGGAAAGACTTTTTGATTTGCAGAAAATGTGAGACATTTCAGGTGTCCACTGGCCAGTCGGGATAAGCAGGTGTTGGTTCGCCTGTCACCAGGGAGAGATAAAGAGAGTCCTGGTCTTTTTGCTTTATACCAGTAGTGAATAGGTGGAAGCAGCCACTTTTGTTTATTCTGGGCCTTTTGCCTTGCAAACAGTTCAAGGTATGTAAGCTCTGAGGTGGAGGGGACTGGATGGTCTAGTCCCTTCTTTGCAAGAGTGTCAGCCAACTCGTTGCCGTGGATACCGACAAAAAATTATTAGTGCTTAAATCATGTAAGTATTTGTCTCCTATGTTTGATTTTAGTAAGTAAGTGATGCTTTTATTTAAAATATTAACAACAGACCATAAGAAAAGGAGGGAGCTGTAAATTATTAAGTTAAGTCAAAGTAGGTGGATAGTCGAAGTCCATGTCAAAGTTAGATATGTAGAACTGCTCCAAGCTACTCCAATAATAATTTTTTATTGGAATTATATTATGTTTTATAATAATCCTAAATGAGAAGGATCATGTTTCCAGTGATCCTTCTCATTTAGGATTACTTTCACAAAACGATTGAAATAGTTAAAATAGAAAATGGCTTCAATTTCATGACAAATTAATATAAACTGAAATTTAAAAAAATAAATTTTACCAAAGCATTTCTCTTGCTAAAATTTATATTAAATTAAAAATAATAATATTGCTATATATACATAAATATTACTTAATAAATAACAATAAAGTTCTTTTTAATAATGTTTCTCATTCGTTGGTCATGAATATAGTTTGAAGCTATTTTAAACACGACGGACCACGTAGTCCTAAAAGCATGACTTTCATCTTTTGTTCAGTAAAATAATACAATTATTTTTTAATTAAACAAACAGTAGGAAAACTTAAAATAACATGTTTAATATGCTTTATTATATTTATTCTTAATTATTTTTTAATTCTGTGGTAGATATTGTGAAATTAAAGGCTTGTAAGACTCTTGCATAGCGATACGATAGACCAGTTAACTTTTCAGGTTTCTTGTTTAAGATTATATAAGATATTTTTTAAAGTGGTCGCAAAATTTATGCGTTAACATCTGATTTAAAATAATTTTGATCATCGCGACTTTTTTAAAATTCAAAGGCGCATTTAAAAGTCCTCTTAAGAATATTATAACGATGTCATGAAGAAGTTGGGAAAAAACGCATGCTTACTTGATTCTTATTTCACTACTATTATGAATATTATGGAGAGATAGTACTTGGGGTTTGGCAGCAATGTACAGTACACAAAAGAAATTTTGATTTAATAATCGGATCTTAACGTTTTAGGACTCAATCTTGATGATTCAAGGGGGTGGCTTCAAATATGCTAATTAATTAATGCAAACGATAATTTGAGTTGTGAAATCAGACACAAAAACGAACATGCCCTTTTTTTGGACGGCTTTGGATTTCTGACAGCTAAAATATGGGGGTTAGTCGCAATCTGGGAAATATAGTCACAATAGTTTGGTAAGGAGAGAGTCTAAAGTTTGGAAGTTAATTTTACTTTTTGCGTATTTCATCATAGCTCGAGGGGAATTTTTAAGCGAATCTAAGTTATAAAATTTGCTTATCACAGGATAATTATTTTAAAAATATAACTCTTGATAAATATTTGTTATTCTTTATTATTTCATTTATCAATCGGCGAAAAAAGTTTGAATTGTATGGTATGAAATTATTTTACCTTATTTCAAAGAATGCAATTTTAAATGGCAGATTACAAAATTTGAGCGAAATCGGTCGAATAGTCTCTGAGAAATCGAATTTCGTAATACGACTTTTTTCAAAATTATCTCTGGAGAAACGAATTTTATAATTGTGTTCAAAAATTTTTCAATTTGCTTAAAAAGTTGCCAATATATGGTGAAATAGGCAAAATGTAAAATTAGCATTGATTAGTTGCATTAATGATAGCTCTCCTGACCAAACTATTGAGACCATATTTCCCAGATTGAGGCAATCCTTTATATATTGGGAGAAAGAAATCCGAATTCGTTGAAAAAAGGTGTGATAATCAATCAATGATAATCATCAAGAGAAAATAGGTTTTTGAGTCTTATTTCATCGTTAAAGTATCATCTGCGTTAATTAACTATCATATTTGAGGTTACCCCCTTCAAACCATTAGTCCTAGAACGTGGAGATCCGATCATTAGATCAAAAGTTATTGATGGTGGTTCATTTTCTTTTTTGCGCACTGTACAGAGATCATAACATCTTCTCTGTAGCTATTGCAACAACATAGAAATTCCAGAAAGCCTAAAATTTATTTTAACTAAAATCCTTTATACGTTATAAAATAAAAATTTCCCCCTTAATACTTAACCTTTTGAATTACGAGTACTTCAATATGCTGTTTGAACTAATGTAAACATCAAATCATTTAAACTACATTGTACAATTTTGTTATTTAATTTCTAAAATTCATAAAATAATGTGGCTACTAATTATTAAAGTTTAAAATTTTTTTTAAAATTTTAGAGTTGTGACTTGTTTATTAGGAGATGACTTCGGAGTGCGAAAGTTTAATTAACTATACTGAAAAAATACTGCTTTTGAACCCAGAATTTTTATCTACTTAAATTTAAATCATATACATTAAGAATATAGATGATAATTGCGCCATTAAGACATTACATTCACTTTATGACTTTAATATATTATGAAAGACTTATATTGTACACTAATTTTGATTAATATTGTACTAAACTAAATATTGTAAACTAAAAAAATTTAAAAAAAAATGAAAAAGGATGTGAAATTTTGAAACATATTGGAATGAAAATAATGTATGATATTTAAAATAAGTAATTGGAAATTTTTAATCAGATCATTATAAGTTAAAAATAATAAACAGTAAGATAGTACATAATTAAATTTAAAATACCTTTAAAGAAAACTTCAAACTAGAGTCTTAAAAGTAGTTGTATAGACTTAAAAAGTAGTTGTTAAAAATATTTTATGTGGTAAAGGTATAAGCAATAATGTATTTTAAGCTTTAGAATGTTAAGGAATTCAGTTAATTTGTGCAATTATTGGATTGTCAACAATAAAAAAGGAATGCAACAAAATCTACGTTTTTCGACTTAATATGCAGTCATATTATTCATTTAATTGTGCATTAAATCTCAAATTACTTTTCCTTTACATAAATATACGCATTAAATACAAAAGGTATCTCTAGATTATTTTATTAGGAAAAAGGATCAGGATCATAGAAATTGATATTATACTCTATAATTACTTAACACAATCAGAACATTATCATCATATTGGCAGCTACTATTTTGTTATCATTTACTGTTGTTGCACTCTGTTAAATTTTAAAGTACCCGTTCACTGCTATTACCATAACCTTACGGATCACTTAATTTTATGACTTTTTTTGGATGAACATTTAAAATATTTGTAAAAGTGGTAAAAAAGTGCATCAAAAATCCAGAGGGTGCTTAGATTATATTTGAATCGTTGTCATTCTGAAGGATTAATTGAAAGATAGAAAGATGAAGGAAATATTTCAATAAAAACTTCAATAAGCGTTATACAAAGTTTGAATAAGTTAGTATGTTTCGAGTGCTACCTTTTCAGGACAAACATCACGTGAATGATTAAAATATATCAAATTAGTAATAAGAAAAGGCTCAGTTGCTAACAAAAAATATGAAGGAAAATAATGTGCTAAACAGAAAATAAATCATGATAGCTGAAAGCCAATTCCACATACAATCAATCAAACCTATAATAGTTACAGTGATAAGCTCATAAGATGGTAATAAAAAGTTTAAAGCGCGGAAAATTATTGAGAAATTTAAATTTCAGTAAGTGAGAAATTTTTTACAAAAGCGTCAGTTCAAAAATTTAAGGAATATATTTGAAGAGCGCTTCGATGTTTTTACCTTTTGCTAAGCCTCCTTGCATTTGATCATTAGCACTTGAAGTGTTGAATCCACTGTTTTTCATGATTTCTATAAGTTCGAAACGGAAGGCTGAAATATCTTGCTTAATTTCGTTTACATCATCTTCGGTCACTCCTTGATTATCTGCATTTCTTTGCTCCTTGGTAACGTACCGGCGAACCAAATTTCTCATAATTTTCTGTAAGTGATAAGTTAGCTTAAATTTAGTGTATAATAAATATTAGATATATTGCTATGTGCTTTCTCACCTACACTTCAAAAGGATTTTTATGAATCCTTCAAAAAGACGCTATTTTACGTAAATACTGCCGCCTTAATTTTATTATCATTGGTGAATTTATGTGAATATATGGGATGATACGGGGAAAAATCAATGCTGCGTTCAGCTAATGTTAATAATGTAGGCATTAAAATTAATGTGACAAAATTAAAATTTAATTAAAAAAGCCGTTATTAAATTATAAATAATTTTTGTGAATGTATAAGCAACATTTTGATATTGCTTTTACATAAAAACAATTCTGAAATAGTACTTTAGTAAGTAGGGATGAAAGCTTTAAACCATGTAAAAAATTCGGAAACTTTTAAAATTCCCTTTCAGAAAACGCGATTTATTACCGGTTCTTTTTTCCAGGTTTTGTGACATAAAAATTACATAGAGTCAATTTGATTAAAGACAAGTAGAATGGTTCTTGGAACATGGGGAACTACAAACTTACACTACTGATTTATCCATGTATTAGTTTCAGACACCACTATAAGGTGCCTTAAACTAAACAAACGGGTTTGTAGAAGTTTATAAGAAAGTGAAGGTTAAGGATTTAAAAAAAAAATTCTCAGCAAATTCACATAATAATTCCTCCCAGTTACGCAATTTTCCACTTATAATTCCTGTTTTAGTTTTAATATTCTTCGACAAATGGTGTTGCATTCTTCGACAGTAGTGAATCTGTAAATCAAAGAGAAGAAATTAAAATGTAAAATCACATCACAAGTTTTTGAAAACCTTCAACAAATGAAAATAGCATTACGATATTTGAAGAAACCTTGAGAATCAGCCACAATCAAGTGGAATAATTGGTGGTCAAAATTTGCATATAACGCTATGCAATGGAGAAAAAAAATAATTGCAGGGACTTGTAACGCGATAATTTAAACCAGTAATCTTCAGAGATAAAATTTATAACCATTTACATAAATTTACTGCCAGAATTGAAATTTTACCCTCAATAGTGTTCATATTTTAAAAACCTTCGGTTGAAATTAGGATGCCCAGTGTTTATTAAGTACGATTTAGATCATAAGTTAAGGATAACTTAAAAAGAATGCGATCTTGTCCTAAGGTTTCTTATTCCACTTTATAGACTGTAATGTTTAAATCAAGTTCATAAATTAGCCCGATTTTAAATTCAGAAAGTCTCTTTCAGGTCAAGATATGAGCAGGAGCGGTATGAGTTATATTGCATTTTGGACAAGAAAGTGTAAAGACGTTAAGTCCTGACACATGAGCATGAAAGTGTTCACTGCGGTGCCTAGTGAGAGCCCTTTGTGTGCATCTGCTGTTTGCCTCAATTTGAACAGCTCCAGGTCATGCTAATCGATAACGGGGGCTATATTCTACAAGGATATACAGTATATTTTTAGTTGATCAATAAAATTGCTCCCCGGATGTCCCCGACAGGGGGCGATACGGGGTTAAGCGTTGCTGATATTCTACTAGGAATTGATCTCCAGTTTGACCCGCGAGGCAGTTTCCGAGAAAATAGTACATCCATCACTAATAGAATCTTAAAGACTGCCCTCCATACCAATCTCATTACCGCAAACATTCACGTGTGATGGTACCCATTGAAAATAAATCTCATTATTGTCGTTCAAGCATCTCAAACGCTGGACAATATTCACAGTCTATTTGTCATGATATTTCCACCATTTAGAAAAACTGAATTGAACTTCGACTATTTCTCAGAATCCAGATATCTGTATTGATTCCCTATTTAACACAGTATTTCAAGGCCTTCTCAATAGCTATGAGTTCCGCCCGAGAAACGGAGCAGGTAGTGATAAAGGCCATTCCATTACGCACAGTTAAAGCAGTGCAGGCAGAGGCAAAGTCTAACTTCAACCAGATGGAGCCCCACAAATCTTTTTGAAGCTGCACACTTTACCCTTCATCAAATGCTGTTGTAAATACAGTGATAATACAGTTTTTAACTGTGATTTCACAATGGAATTCACAGGGATTTCACAACTGAAAATCGCTTTTAGTCACATGGATCTTAACAAATCACTAGGACTAGGAATCCTTGGTCAAATGTTGGCCAATAGGAGACATTTGGAAAAGTTTTCTCTTTCGTTGTTGTTTTGAATATAAAGTTTCGTTTAGATTGAGTAAAGAAGAAAGCAAATTTTTAAAAAAGGGATGCTTTAAAAATAAATTAATTATGCATTCTGAGTTAAGGCTTCGGTCAACTTGATCAAATTTGCTATTTCAGGGGCAAGTGCTATAAAAAAATTGATATAAGTAATTGGTATGATAAATGTAGACTTTTGTGGGCATAAATAATTATTTGCAAATTAGGAGAAAATTAAAAGTTAATTTAGGTCTGAGAGTTTGATTCTAGCGTCAATCAGATCCTATTCTCTCTTACATGACCGAAAAGAAAATTCAGTTTTACTGGTTACAAGGATTTAATACACAGATTTAATATCTAAACTTATACTGTTAATCACTTTCTTTTTACCCATGTGATAAATTGATATGAGGGTCAAAAAAGTTCTGTTTAGTTTATTTGGATGTGTTGGAAAATTGGGTTAGATGGGATAAAGTAAAATTTGAACCAAAATTTTAGTCAAAGAAAGTCTTAAGAAATATGGTCTTCATAAATATGAAATCATCTGCTTTTTGCTTATATTTTTAAAAGTTTCAAGTGGTTTATTAAAAACCACACAGTTTAAGGGATAAAACTATTACAATTTAAGTGAATATTATCCTCAATATAATGAACAGTTTATTTTTATCCCTGCTTCTGAAGGGGTGAAGGAGTACCATGAGTTTAAAAAAAAATCTATATTGGTGCATCTGTTTTTGAGAAATCATGTTAAATGATTTCAAAAATTGAGTTTTGAGAAAACTCTACTTATTGTTAATCTACTTTTTGTGTTGTCTTTAAGAAATACCATTGACAAGTCTTACTATTTGATAAAAAAAAACTATGTAACCCTTACCAAAAACTTACGAACTAAATAAAATTTTAGGAGATAAAAGAAAAACATTTTCTGAAAGAGAAATAATTATAAGTAAACGAAATTCTAAATACGAATGAATACAGACGTGTATAAAACCGTAAAATAATGAAAAAATACACTTGTCATACAATAAATACATTGTAATGTTCATAGACTGCTTTTTATTATATGAATCACAATAGTGAGAAAAAGAATAATAAGTTATGGATTCAAAAACATATTGAAATAAAATCGTAATTGAGGAGCTGAACTAATGAAAGGTGACATACAAGACAGAATTGCGATTTATTTGGAATATTTTTATTATTTCACAACATGCATTTATTTTTCTTAATTTCAAAGATCTTAGTAGATGACGGATTCAAGTGAAGGGGAAAATGATAGAAGCTCATCTGGTAATAAATAGTAGACGAGTAATATAAGAAAATCTGCTTGTTTTTTTAGCAGCAAATTAAAACTCCAAGAAAGCGCAAATGCCAGTACGCAAGCAGCATCAACGACTGTTATTGCTTTATGGATTTCGCCAATTGAAAACTTGCAAGCAAGAAATTACGGTAAGTCATAATCTTTAATTTTTACTCTCAACGTATAAACTCTAAAGCTGATTTACACAAATTTACTAAAATGTCACTTAGACCGTTCGTCCACTTAGCTCTTCAGTTATCAAAAAGATTTAAAATACGATGGCAATTTGTAACTAAACTCCGTTGTGGTGTGAAGCAATTAATAATGAGCCACAGATGTTACATCAATACACTTGTGATATTACATGTTGCCAGCTATTCTAGTGATAGTATCGCATACCTTATATACGTTGTAACGTAATGCCAAATGCTTGAGTACGAGATGCAAATGTACGAGAAAAAAATTAGAATTTCCTTGAACAATAAAACTGTAAGTGGAAAACATTTACCATGAATTTTGTGTAGTATACTGCCGTTTTACGACAAAAAATATCTTTTAAATTGAGGTTTTAGTAAATTTGACATTTTTGTATGATTAACTACTTAATCGAGAAAAAAAACATTTTCTTCAAAAATCAATTTTTTTTTCAGCTCTCTGAAATTTTGAGTTCATAGTATTAGCAATATAACGAAAAAAGTTATCAAGAAGCTTTTCTCAAAATCTATTTATTATGAAGTATTTACATTGTTTATTTTCGTTCAATTATACGACTGTATACAGTTCAAGCAATATAAATGAAAATGTAGTGGGTCATATATGTTGAAGAGAGAAGGCGAATAAAAGATCTTTCGAACCAATTCAAATGGGAAGTGTTTAATCATTCCTTCTACTGCATGAACTTCACTCTATCTGATTACCATTTGTTGAATGCCATGAAAAAGTGATTTGATGCTCAGCACGTTGTCTGATAATGAGAAACTTCAAACCAGTGTGAGAAGTTGGTTGAGATTGCAGGTGGCGGATTTGTTGAATGCCATGAAAAAGTGATTTAATGCCCAGCACTTCGTCTGACAATGAGAAACTTCAAACCGCTGTGAGAAGTTGGTAGAAATTGCAGGTGGCTGATTTGTTCAATGCCATGAAAAAGTGACTTGATGCTCAGAATTTTGGCTGACAATCAGAAACTTCAAACTGCTATGAGAAGTTGGTTGAAATCGCAGGTGGCTGAGTTTTATGCAGAAGGGACTGCTAAGTTTATAAAACTTTATGACAAGTATTTAAATGCCCACGGGGATTTTTTTTTAAATATGGAGGAAAGCTTCATCTCTCAGATGTAAATAAAAGTTTTGTGGAATCTGTGCAGGTTTTTTCAATTTGGAGTAAAACGTAGGTTAGTTTCCAAATTACCCTTGTATAAAGTTCGAAGATTCATTGGAGTTTTATGTATTTCAATAGTGAGGCTATTAAATAAGTAAATAATGGAATGAATAATCCATGGAAACTCAATCGAAAGCGAAATTATTTACAAATTCGCATTCAAAATGTTTGGAAACTTTTTTTAGTTTCATACCAATTGCAATAATGTGGAAAATTACATTGAATTAAGTTATTTATTGATATTTAACATAAAATATAACTATCGACAAAAAGTTATATGAGTTATATATGTTTGGAAACTCTTAAAATATATATGACTATAGTAAAAAATCACGAGCAACTTATTAAAACTTACTCAAAACATTATACAGTCAAACCCCGCTATAGTGAACATGGTTTATAGTGAACTCCCGGATATAGTGAACGAAATGTTCGGTACCGTGCCTTGCTATACACGTATAATGTAATTTTTTGTGGATATAGTGAACCAAAAAAGTGAAGAAGTTGGATATAAGGAAATTTTTTCTGTCTGCAACTGATTTTTTCTCTCCATATTTTTTGTAATAATTTTGAAATTTCTACTTCGAAATAAATACATATACCGATTTTATAGAGGGGAATGTAGCGATAAGCATTTTCTCTTGTTTGCTTCTTTTATCTCTTTTTCCCATCCCTAAACAAACCAAGCACATGTTTCTAACCCCGGCAGATGATGAACCTGTAAGGTGTCAGTAGGATCAATATGCATTTTCTGTCAGAGGGAATGAGTAATCATTCAATATTGGTCAAAGAGTTGGACACTAATATGTGCTGATAAGGCCCTCATTTCAACTCCTTTTTGTTCTCAGTTCAGTTAAAAAAATCCTGCAAACAAGTGTCTCAAATTTAACTATGGCGAGCTGTAAATGTAAAACATTCTCCATTGATGATAAAATGGCATAATCAGAAAAATTGAAAATGGATGCAATCAAGCTGATATTTGCAGGGAATATAAACTATCCAAATCTGTAGTTTGCAGCATATGGAAAAATCGGCAATTAATAATTTCTGCTCATGAAAAAAATTTAGATGGCAGAAAAAAGTTGAGAAAAGCAGATCACAAGGATGTTGAAGAAGCATTAGTGAAGTGGTTCGCCATTCGAAGAGGCCGCAATCTTCCCGTATTTGGACAAATGTTGATAAATTTGCTAAGCGAATTTATGAGACTACTTTCATGTGCCCGAGTGACAGGTTAGACAGGTTTAAAAAACGGAATAACAGAAATTCAGGAAAATTTATCTGAGAGTCGGGAAGTGTTTCCATATCTGATGTTGAGGATTGCTCATCAGCTAAAGATTACAAAAAAATTTTTTGTACGCAAGGCGAAGGGAAATGAAAAATAACGCTTTTTTTGCTAGTACATAATATTTTTAAGTCATTTATTTGAATAATGTGTAATAAAATGGAGGAGTTTGGGAACCATTAGTTAAATTGTCTATGTAACAGATATTGTGAACTCCCGGTTATAGTGAACCGAAATTTCGGTCCCTTGAAGGTTCACAATAGCGGGGTTTGACTGCAAATATAAAATTGAAAATATACTCACACACTTATAGTATACAAATACATATTCTTATATAAAATCAAAAATCAATACAATTTCACAACTGAATAGCAGAATCTTTAAAAATAAGAATTACTTTGTATCGCAGATCCCTTTCACTTGCTTGCTTCGCTTTTCTCTGAAAAGAGAATAATAATTATTATTTTTTTAAATTTTTTTTCAAATCATTTAAGGGGTTCTCCTAGCGATGAAAATATTCTTTTGAGGGCGCTTTAAAGCTATTATAGTGCAGCAATATTAAACATTTTCCTAAATTTGATTACTTTTTATACTCTTTTTTTTCGATATACATGATTTCATGCATTTTTTCGGTGTCATGAAATGTGTCAATAGTGGTTTTCTTACTATTCTCAAACCATGTATGATTTTGTGAATAGTCTCATTCTTTTCTTTATGACTTGTAGAATAAGAAAAGCGATGTTGCATATCGGGGATTCTCATCTAAGAAAGGGAAACTTAAACATTGTTAACTAGACAAGCTAATTTTTGTTACTGATGTACTTTTTACGGTGAATCAAAGGACATCAAACCCAAGATTATATGACTGATTATTTAATCCTTATAAGAGTTTCATATATAAAAAGTACAGTTTTCAGCTTACTTCAGACATTGCTATCTTGGCAAATGAAGTAAAGTTTCTTACGCATATTTTTTCCCTGAAATGAGACAAACGTCGAAGACAAAGTCAATAAGACTGCCAGTTCGAAAATTATAGAAGTGGATCTCATGCATTATTTTACGCTAAGTTGAATGTGATTAAAAATGGTTTGATAAAACCAATAGTGTAGAAGTTAGAAGAAAATGTAGGTTTCATGTGAGCAAAGTGTAATGTTGACTTATATTTGCTTAAGCATTTGCCGTCTGGAAATTTAAGGCATATTTAGTTTCGAATTTTTTAAGCTAAATGTAATATCAAAATTAAGGGGCTATGTCTAATAGCTTCGAATTTATGAGAGTTTTATGCGTTAAAGTGCATAAATAGTGTAAAAAAATACCAGAAAAACAATTCTTCATCTATCTAGACAGAAATCGCAGATGAGTATATTAGTACAAATACAAAACTATACATATTATTCATAAAAAGAGCCATAACTTTTGAGATATTAGTCCTATCAATTTGAGTTTATTCGATCAAGAAAAAACATTGAAAACAATACTGCATTGGTCTAGACATAAATATCAGTCGTGTAAATAGGTATAAGTACAGAATTGTACTTTTTGTACACGAAACCTTAAAAACTTCAAAACTATTAGTTCAATAGACTTAAGTTTGGTTGCATTTGATTCGTTTTTTTCGAAACAATAACTCATCCGTCTAGATTGGAATATTTAAAATTCTTTTCCCTTTTGTAGAATTTCCAGAACCTTACCAACCACGGGTCATAATTGTTCACCATTTTAAAACTTTTACAATACATTTTATTTTATTTTATAACCACCCTTGAACAGCCGACCTAATTCTGAGTTTGCGACAATCAACTATGCAGAGATCAAGGATTGGAACATACTAGCCTCCGTGGAGGACTTTTTGATGGAATTAATCCGCCTTTGCGTAACATGGAGAGGGAAATCACGATAACTTCATACGGTTACCCCGATGGCAAGGGTATTCTAACGTATGATTCGTCTACAATTGAGGGTATTTTACTTCAACACTGTGGTTGGTGCGAGTCGGGAGTAGAATTCGGATCAAACAGCCACCGCTAGGCTTTGGATCACCTCACTGGGATGCAAATGCCCATGAGCCACCACGGCTCTTTTACAATGCGACTCTTTTACACGGCTCTTTGGCAATAATAATTTAAAAAAAAGAGACCATTCACAATACCTAAACATAAAAAGGAGACCGGGATGTAATTTGTGCAATTGAATAACACCACTGACTTTCTAAAGAAACATCAGTTGAACAAGAAAGTTATATTTAATTTCTTAAACACCAGAATTAGTTACCAGGTATTGAAAGTTAAAAAATTACCCCTAGAGAAAGTCCTTGTCTAAAAATTTGCTTAAAACATGTTTTGAAAAAAAAAGTTTGATACTCTTTCCAGAATTTAGACAAGCTTTTTTTACATAAATGGTGGTTAAGTAAGTTTTATTTCCAGATTCATTGCAATGAAAAGTGAATTTAAATAAAATACACTAGGAAGACCCCTAGCAAGTGAAAGACAGCAAGTATTCTTCTGTCAGTTATAATAAGCTGTTTTCAAGACTTTTATGTTAGAGCAATGTTTCGATATCAGGATTCAATGTGCGCTAAAAGAAATGGACCTTACATTGTATCAAAAGCATTAAAATATAAGAAAGGCAGAAAACTTATCTCATTTGATTTAAATTGCCCAAGGAACATGTTTTGCTCGAAAAGCATAAAAAATAGCATAAATGAAAAATAAATTAATTGTGCAACGAAAATAATGATTCATTAACATATTTTATGATGAAATAATGTTATTGATACTGAACAAAAAAAAGTTTTTAAAGTACTTTTTTGAAATTCTTATTATAAGTTTAGATATTTTTTTATTGATAAATTTCAATACAATTTTAAGTTAAGTTAGTTTGTACATTTAAGTTTTTTCTAACTCTATAGAGAGCTTTATAAAGCAACGCTATATATGTGTATTTTATTTCTCACAAATAATTTTGTGAAAAATGCAAACTATTGCAGAACAGATTAAAATATCCGATTTAAGATTTTCAAAATTTTAGGGAACATTCTTATTGGATCTAGTCAGCCTAATTTGTACCAAACTGATTCTCAATTCCCGAGTACATATCTCATTTTACTTCAACGAAAAGTTACAATAACAAATATTACAAAATAATATTTTACGTTACAAATACTAGTTTGTAATTGAAAAGTATAGTGTTACACTAAATTGTTTGTTTACCAAAAGAAGAATATTAGAGGAATATCTTCATACTCCCGTTATGACCGATTGAAAATTTTTTTCTTTAAGGGCGGTAAATGCTTCAACCATTTCAACGATTTGGAGTAGCTCCAACAGTTCCATTCCAAGAAGCACTCCCAGTTTAGGTATAATTGTTTTTTGGGGAAAAAGCATTTTTTTAAATTTTGTCTCAACAATTTACACAATTTATTTGCCTCAACATTTTATTATCATTAGTCATAAAGAAGATCGTGAATAATCGCAAGTTTACTATACCATAAACATTTAATTTCTATAAAAATTAAAAATTTCCACAAGTTTGTTACAAACACAAGTTTATAATTTAAAACTTAAGCTTAATACTGAATCGTTTGTCTACCATAAGAAGAGAATAAGGTAACATTTTCCCACTCCCATTAAAACCGATTGAAAAATTTTCATCTCCTTAAAGACGATAACGATTTCAACAGCTTCAACGATTTGGGGTGCGCTCCATACATCCATGCCAGAGAACTCGCCCAGTTGAAGCATAATTGTTTTTTGGGGAAAAAGCATTTTTTAAAATTTGGTCTCAACAATTTACACTGTAGAGGATTAGTCATAAAATGGACCGTAAATAATCGAAAGTTTATTATACTGTAAATATTTAACTTCAATAAGAATTACAAAATTCGAACAAGTTTGTTACGAATACAAGTTTATAATTGAAAAGTTTAGTGTAACACAAAATCATTTGTTTACCAAAAGTAGAGAATAAGGAAGTATCTTCACGTTCCCGTTAAAACCGATTAAAACATTTTTATCTCTTTAAAGCCTGTAACGCTTTCAACTGCTTCAACGATTTGGAGTGCGCTCCATTAGAGTCATACCAAGGAACTTACCCAGTTAACGCATAATTGTTTCTCTTTTTTTTTGGGGGGGGGGAAGCATTTTTTAATGTTTTATCTCAACAATTTACACGGTATAGTATTTGTAATAAAGAAGACCGTGAATGCTTTCATAATGCTGTGGAAAGTACTTTTCATAATGCTAAAGTGCTTTTCATAATGCTGTGGAAGCGTATGCTTGAATTAGCAATTGTTTTTAGAGAATTTAATAATGAAATGTGAGAATAAGTGCATGTTTAATTATTTAGTTGTAATAAGTGTGATGATAAAGCAACTTCGATGCATAAGTGAGTGAGTTTTGCATTTATTGAGATCATTATTGCAATGCATGCATCAACGCATTTCATTTAGAAAAAATATCGAATACTCACTATTAATAACTTTGGAGGTGAGGAGAATGAAAAGAAACAAAACAAATAGTTATTCATGGGAAAACAAAAGTTATATGTAAAATAAGTAAAATGAATTTCGTTCTATGTTTTTCACAGGAAAATGAATAAAATAAAATAAATTAGGAAAACTAATTTTATTCTAGAAAACTGATTTTAATTTTTAGTAACAATTAATAATGGATACAACAGAAAAAAAAATATGACGCCTGGTGGCTGAGTGGCATCTCCGCGCCACAGGACCTGAGTTCCATCCTCAACCTTGGCAAGGTTAACTCAACCTTTCTTCCCTTCTAATATTAAGGGGTTCTGCTGACTACCTAACAGGAGCATCTGCTCCTGAGAAAGCTGAGATGGGCACAAGGGTCCTCCTTGGGCTTTCACGCCACTGAGTTTAGTATAGATAAAAGAAACATAGTAAGTAAAATAAACACTTTTCAGAAACTAAGCGTTTTGTCTATAATATTTCGTTTTGCAAAAAAATGTTATCGTAGGTGAAAAAATATTGTTTATAAATGAAATAAAATATTTGCATTAAAACATTATTTAAGCTATTCTTATTAGTCATTTTAGAAACGCAAATTAATTTTTTAAAATTATAATGTATGTTTTATAAATAGTTGTAGAACATTTCTGCCACAATAATTAAACTTTTTTTGGCATTTCAACCTTTTCCGGTGCAGCAAATTTTGACTGAAGACAGGCAGCATATTAACAATTGCTACCGTTGTTAGTGAATTCTAAGTAAAAAGATGTAGTACGTGTTGCTTAACTCTATGCTGTTTAATGACTGGTGGTTGCTAAAAACTATTTTGGAACGTTTTTGGAACTAGTGTTTGCCAGATTGGACTCCAGAAAGGGTTAAAAGTATTTTAGAAGTTGTAAATGTTTCACGTTAATTGAGTATAATATTAGTACTATCTCAGAAAACTTTGAACCTCAATATCGATAGTTTTAATCACATTACTGGACGAATTTACAAAAATCCAGTGGCGTTTATAAAGAGGGCAGAAGGGTATTATGGCCTAAGACATCTAGCCAAAGGGACCGTCAAATCAACAACTAAGAACAATAAATTTAATGCTATTTTATTGTATAATTTAATTTTTTAAGGTTTGGCCAGAGCAAAATATTTAATGAAGAAGAAAATATAATTTTTAGTAAGGATAAATTTAATAATGAAATTTAAGAAAAAAAGCTTATTTCTTGAAAATTAAAGATATTTTACCTTGGACAAATTTAAATTTATATTATCAATTGAAATTATGAATTTATATTTTTCTTTCTAATGCGCTTTTTTTCGATTTAATTAGCTTTTTTTCCTTCTACAATGATCTTTTTTGGAGAATTTAATCAATCACTCAAATAAAATTTATCACTCTCTAATCAAGAAGTTAGCCACGGGAATCCTAACGCCTCTGCGCACAACTGCTGCAACCACTGGAAGTTACAACTGTGTTTTGGTTCATGTTGAACCATTAGTATCGTGAAACTATGTTTAGATCATATTGTACAACTTGGTTCTAGGGTAAACCAACCAGTGAAGAAACACTACCCTGTGAAGGAACATTTCATATATAGTGATTAAAAATAAGAATTTGAAAGTTTTTCATTAGATTGATTGGTAACAATAGCTTACTGCCAAACAATTGGAAGTCATCTAGCAATGTTTTGGATTACCTGGTCACATAGACTTCTCTGGAAATTTTTTTAAATTTGTTATTATTTCTGCAACACCTTGTTTCTTTGAAAAAATTATAAGGTGAGTGTTTGTATTTATATGTTTGAAGTGGAATTAATTGCATGTAATAGTTTTATTTTTCTCACTCTGAAAATAAGAATTCAAAATATAGTTATTGAAGTTACGTTTTTTTAAGCCCCATAGCATAATAAAGTACTGAGATAAGGGGGTATTTATTCACTGGATCACCAAACGAGGAAAAACCAGTGAAGGAACAAGTGTTCCTTTACTGGTTTTTTTTCTAAGTTAATGAAAATAAAAGATAAACTTTAATTTTCTTGTACCTTTAGTGATGTTCCGCATCAAAAGTATGTTAAAAATACGAAAAACAACTTCTAACCAGTGAGGGAACAGGCATGTTCCTTTACTGGGCATAGATTTCCCAGTGAATGAACAGTATGTGTTAATATGTTGACACTTTAATTTTCAATTCATGATTACAAAAAAAAGTTAACATTTTCCAAGTATTTATATGTTATAATTTCAAGAATAGGCTTGTTTTTAAATATTTGTATGGCTTATAAATTCATAAAGAGCATTAAAAAATAACCAAAATTAAGTGTTCCTTTACTGGGTGTTCATTCACTGGTAAGAGCTGTTCCTTCACTTGGTCTTCTTACTACTTGTTATTTGAACCTCCAAAACTTTAAAACAATATTATGTAAGTTCTCTGCATTTTTTTTTTACATAATTTGCAATTAGTAGCAAATAAGTTGACACAGTCATTTAACTAAAATTACGAATTTTGACATTAATATGATTTTTTAAAAGTGCTTAAGTGTTCCTTCACTGGTTAGTTTACCCTATATTAAGGTAGCAGAAAATTAAAATGATTTATTAAGCTCCCAATTTTCTAACGGCTTAGCAAATGAAGAGCGGTTTATGTCCATGAAAGTTGATTTTGAGAAAAAAAGAATTTCAAAATGGACAGGAATCCCTAGCATCATGTTAACTGGAAAATAACTCTCAGGGAGAACCGATTTTCCACGTTATTGATTTATCAAATCTTAGCAATTCTCTTAGAAAATCACATCCTGGAAATTGAACCGATGGTGATCTGGTAGCCATTTTTGTGAAAAATGGATATAAACCGTTCTTCCCACTGTGGTTTTGCTTCACGTAAATGGCTTAGAAAGATAACAGAATACGCAAGAAGTGAAGTTTCGCTGGACCTCATATTTTGAGGGTCCACTTAAAAAAACATATTTAGAAGGAATAAGTTATAGTAAGTGAAAATGTTTTCGGAGGGCTATTTGAATCGATTTATGAAACAATGACGCAGTTAATATATTCAGTTACCATGAAGTAATAAACCTGTTTCAGTGATTAAATTGAAAGTTCTTTGTGGAGTAACATGTTCGATTTAAAGAGACACAATTTTGCACTGATAAGAATGAAAAAAAAAAAATACAACTAAAAGTAAGCATCAAATTCTCTATATTTTGTTCCAGAATATTCCAGTTTAAATATCATTGCTTGTTTTGCTTAATAGATATACTATAAGGAAAAAAATGAATTGTGCATTAAGCGTTGCTTATTTAGATCAGAAAATATTTGGGTTTAAATTCGCCTCACCCAAAAAATCAGTCAATTTAAAGGCATGAGTTAACGTTTTTGTATAAATACTCTCTCAATTTAAAGTACATTGTTTCAGAAACTGTAAATTAGCTAAGAAATCTTTGGAAGGATAAAATATGACAATTGATCGATAAATCAACTTACCCTTATAGTCTTTAAATCTTTCTTTTTAACTGTTCGTGTAGCACAAAACTTTCTTTTTAGCCATCGAAAAAGATACATAGCACTTTTGGGAGTAGGGATAATATTAAAAGGCGGGGGCACCGTTGCTCCATCTTCAAAATAACTTAACCACAGTTTCGTTCGGGCGAATTTCCATTCTACATCAGCATGTTCCTATAAATATTATTTCATGTTTTTCTTACTGAAATACACCTAGTTTTTATAATTGAACACTAAAAATACATATTATGGCATTTTTTTAGGTGCGGAAAAAGATTAAAATGAAGCCTTGGGGAAACACTCTACATTAATCCCTTGATATATAATTTCTTGATATCGAAATGATCACTGTAAACAACGGAATGTTGACAGAGATGCTCCGAACGTGCGAAAATAATTCAAAAAAGCGGTAAATAACTAAATTTTGCTAATATTTGACTATTTTTGCTCGCTTTTTAAAAGGTATTGCAGGCCATAACTACTATAAAGTGGTGAATTATATAAGGCTACGAGTTATTTAGAGATAGTGGTGGATAAAAATCTACTAAATTGAATTTATTAAACCAAGAATCACAATTGATAAGCTACCACTTCAAATTATTTATTTGCTATCCGGATGGCATCTCTGTGTTGAAGACGTCTGTGACACGTCAATTATTGTTTTGACATAAGAAACGAATGACGTCTCCCAGACGTATGTCAAGGAGTTAAGGAGAAAGTTGCTAACAAAAGGCCAATTCAGATACATACCTCCGTTTCACGGCGCAGAGATTTTACTTAGATCTTATCTTCTGTTCTTAAACAGAGTCACAGTGCTGAATAACTTTTGATGTAACTAGGACTCAATCTTAATGGTCCAAGAGTATAAATATGATAATTAGTTAGTGCTCAAAAACGTACAGTGCACTACGAGTTTTTAAAAATTCAATTGTTAAGAAACTATAAGACCGATTTTGCTTAAATTTTGTATTTTGCCATGAAAAATTACAATGTTTAAAATAATGTAAAAAATTTTACATCTTACTGTTCAAAAATTTTTCTACCGTTATTAAATATTATAATGAAAAATAATATTTACTGAAAATTATTTATTTGCATGGAATTATCATTGGATAAACATTTTTATAATTGGGTACTAGAATTAATCAATTCGGTTGAAAAAATTCTCGAGGTAAGATGAAACTGACTGAAAGTTAAATTAATCGTAAGAGGTCGAAACTTCTGTAACAGAAAGGGAACGTTCTCCTGACCAAACTGTTTGTACCTTATTTCTCAGATTGCGGCTACTATATTTTGCGGCCCTATATTATGGAGAATAGAAATCCAAATCCATCGGAAAAAAGGTATGCTTACTTAGAGAAAGTACATTTTTTGTCTGATTTCGTAGCTTAAAATATAGTCTACACTAATTCGTTAGTAAATTTGAGATCAACCTCTCGAACCATTAAGATTGAGTCCTAGAACGTGAAAATCTGGTCATTAAATCAAAAGTTATATTTGGTAATTCTTTTTGAGTACATTACATCATACATTTTATAAAATTATTGCTTATATTAATGCCGTTTTTCGTTCAAAACTCATTTTTTCGCCGCAAGGGTTTTTTGAAATCTATTTATCGAAATATTTGATAGCGTGTATTAATCGAGTATTAGCTATTAAATATAAACTTTTGTTACGAATATTAACTTTTAAAGAAATGAGTATTCATTATGTATAATTTCAATCTTTGCAAATGTTAAAGACAAATAATTATAATTTTTTTTTTGCCATGGCTATTATCAAAACGCATTAGGCTTTTTTTCTAAAACTTCCAATCAAATTCAACAAAAATGTAAAAAGTTATAATAGATTTAATTACGACTTTTTAAAAGTAATTTCCAACCTCAACTCGATAAAAGTAACAAAGATTTAATTAAGTTTTTTTTCCAATTCCTAACTTTTTCCTAAATTACAGTTGAGTTATAAAGAATTGTATTAAACTTCCAAACTATATAATTAATTAATCCCATCAGCTAAAAATAAAAGTCAATATTACCACTAATCTTTCTTATACTTTAATTTAAATTCTTAAATTGGCACAGATCGTTAAACTTTGATGTATACGTGACTTTAAACGCAACTTTAATTTTTGAAAATTTTGAAGCCTTTCGTTTAGATGGAAACTTTTTTTGTTTTTTTATTCTAGTCGATTTTAATGAATCGACTAGAATAAAAAATTTTTGATGTCGAATTTTTGATGGTTGAATCGGTCGATAGTGTAAGTTAGGCATCGCAATCCTTGCAAACTTTAAATGCGCTTTTATTTCCTGCATAAGAATTCAGGATCTACTGTACTCATCTAAAAGAAAAAACAATTCTTTTAGTCTATTCTTTTGGGTATGGTACTTATCTTAACACGGAGGTTTTCAGAAAGTGTTTAATTTACATCTTTAGAGTTGAATTTAGTATACCAGATGCAAATTGTACCAAAGGGGGGTTCCATGTGCTTCGATAAAGGAATAATTATGAAAATTCTTATGCAGATATGGTATACCTTGAGTTAGGTATTAAAAAAGTTAAATAACGTAAATAAAGCAGTGCCCTTATTTGTGCTTAATCATGTTGTTTAGCTTTATTAATTTTTACAAATTCCTTGAATAAGAGTTATCAAAAGAAGATTTTTGAATAAATTAAGAATAAAACTTAAAGAGAAACTTTAAATCAGAGTTTTCAAGATGGCCAGCAGTACCAAATTTCTTAAACTTCTGAGAAATTTATCGGTAACGGTTGTTAACGGTTTTTGATTGATTCCATTCATAATTTTCACGTCACTGCTCTTCATTTAATAATAATTATTTTTAACACTTTTAAATATTTCTTTCGTTAAACTACAGGAAAGAAGTTTACATCTTGAAGAATAATAAAATACAATTAACGATTTTTATAAACTTAACGAGCATTTCTATTGAATGTGGTTTGGTCGTCTTACTTTAAATGCACCAATCAAATTCTAAATTTCTCAATGTGAATTTATATGAATTTTTATTTTAAAGAAAAAGTGACAAAAAATATTTCCGATGCAATGTTGTAAAATATTTTCCATTAAAATGATAAGTTTGCTTTCAAATCATTAGAATTCCACGCAAAATCGCTTATTTATAATATAACGATAGTGAAAGAATATCTCCACTATTCTCTTAAGAGGAAAATCGATTAAACATTTTAGTTTTTGAACGCCATCGTCAGAACAGTTTGATGCCAATGAAACCGATTATGACTGGTTATTCAAACAAAGACGTCTTCCCCATACTGTGGCGTATGCAAAATTTGAAATGTAATCGACGTTAAACATGTCCTATTGTCCATGGAAATTGATATAGATTTCGTAGACTAATCAGAAAATTCACCTTTTTACGAATTGCCATTTGTTAGGCTTATTACCGTCAGCCTTGTAGGCGCATTGCTAAGAGACGTAGGCAGTTTGCAGAGAGTCGGATTTTCCAGTAAGTCTATGGTCTAGATATAAGTAGATTTTACACATGATGATAAATATCAAAAGGATAAAAGATAGAAATAATTAAAAACAATAATTTTTACTTTACGTTTGAATTAGTTTTTTTGACAAAGAGCCTTTTAAATTACCAATTTCGACCTCAAAATTGTACATTTTTGAATTTCAAAAATAACATGTGTTTATTAAAAAATGCAATTTTAAGGAAGTGAATGATAGAAAAATAGAAAAAAAGGAACAATCTATTGTGAGGTTTTCCTCAACGCAAAAACTATTTCCTAATAATGAGAATAGTTATCAGAATAATTGAGAAAAAAAATAGAACAGCATTTCAAAAACCGTGAGCCGTTGGCACATTGCTAAGTGACGTAGGGAGTTTAAAGAGAGTCGGATTTTCCAGTAGGCTTATTGTCTTGATGTACGTAGATTGTGCATATGATGATAGATATTAAAAGGCTAAAGGATAAAAATAATTAAAAACAATAGCTTTTAGTTTACGTTTGAATTAAGTTTTTTTGACAAAAAATCTTTTAAATTACTTATCTTGATGTCAAAATTGCAAATTTTTGAATTTAAAAAAAAATCTTGTGTTTATTGAAAAATGCAATTTTAAGAAAGTAAACGACAGAAAACTAGGAACAATCTATAATGCGATTCTTTTCAATGCAAAAACTATTTCCTAAAAATAAGAATAGTTATCAGAATAATTGAGAAAAGAATCGAAGAAAAATGTTTAAAGATATTTTTGAAATGTTTAAACATTCATTAGTGAAAAACATTTCTATGATTATTTTTACAGTTTATGAAGAAAAATGAACTCACTGAGATGATTTGGTAGGAATGATTCATCATGGCAATGAGAAGGTTTAGGAGAACGACAACGTTGATGACAGAGTAGGATCCGAACATAAGCAGTCCCCAGAATCTGGTGTAAGTCTGAATCCCAGTTAGTTCGAAATTGTCCAAATCTATAAGACCGAAACTCGCCCAGAATAATGTTTGCGAGGATTCGAACAAGCTGAAACAAACATTGTGGATAAGTTTTCAAAAATTATTTAGGTCATTAAATATTTTACCGAGCATTTTGAGTAAATGTCTAATTATCTAATTAAATATTAATTATCATGAAGATTTTATCTTTGTATAGTAACATGCGATTAAAATTGCTCCTTCTTTCTTTTTCATCTTTTTTAAACTTAAACTAGACAAGGAAGAAAGTAAGAAACACAAATGGAAACAATTAAAAATATGCAGCACAAATTAGATTCTAAGTTTTCAAAAATTAATTTTGGAATGAAATATTTTATCACGTATTCCGCGTAAAGGTTTTTCTAAAGTACCTTAACAGCATGAAAATTTTAATATAATATGCAATTACATGTAGAAATATGCAATTAAATTATTTGGCTCATTTCAAGAGAAATCGATAAAAATTTACGCCATGACATAGATTTTCATAAAATTTCTTTGTAGAAAAGTTCTTGATGAGAAAGTGCTAAAATAATTTTTTTCAGAATTTTTTGACCAAGACTACAATTTCGGGGCAATTTGAAATATGATGCAGTTTAAAAAAATGGCGCAACTACAGATGATAGCTCAAAATTAAAAAGTTATTTTTAGCCAAAATAATTCAATATTTTTTCAGTATAATTCAATATTTCTGTCCTTGATTTTTTCTCAAAATTTTAAGCGTCATATTTTTTAATATAGAAAATCAAAAGTGTGATTTCGTCATTTTGTATTTTGGCCATGAAAAAATTGTTTTTTGGCCAAAATACTTGATATATTTGATTTTATAGCACAAAAATATAATTTCTTAATCTAAAATTTCTTTCGCATAATGTTAAATCTTATATTATTCAATATAAAAAATAAATTAATTGGATGATTTCAGTTTTTTATCCTTAAAATAAAGAAATTACTTTTTAGCTAAAACACTTCGATTTCATTACAGTACAAATATATGCATTCTTGACCTTAATTTTTTTCTGTCATAATGTCATCTTTCTTAATGTATTAAGAAAAGTGTTTTTTTGTGTCATTAAAAATAAAAATTTGCTGCATGCTGAAATAATTCAAGATTTTCTTATGGTAAAAAGTTTCCTAAGTTCAATTTTTTTACATAATGTGAAATGTTGCAATTTTCATCTTAAAAAAACTCCAAAATACTGTTCTTTTGTTTTTGTTCATTAAAAATCTGAAAAGTGAATTTTAACCCAAATATTTCAAGATTTTTTAAGGTGAAATAACAAAGTTTCAGGATCTTAATCGAAACAGAGAAAATTTCTGTATTTTTTTTCTTATACTGAAAAATACAACATTTAACATTACGAAAAAAGAATTTAAAAGAACTTTACCAGGAAACTTTTCTTTATGGCTGAAAATCACTTTCTATTTTTTTAAAATCATACACAAACGAAAAAACATACACAATTTTTTTTATATTAAAAGTATGATATTTGACATTATGCAGATAAAAATTTGTGAGGATAAGAAATTTGTGATCTACCAGTAAAAAAAATCTTGAAATTTGCATAGAAAAAATTCAAAAATTATCTTGCTAAAATTTTCTCAATTATTATATGGATATATTCATCATTTTGATAGTTTTATTGCATATTTTTGACCATTTTAATTCTAAGACATGAAAATTACGAAAATTGGAGCATAAATATAAAAGACATACATATTTTTAACATAAGAGCGTCTATCTGTAGTTACGCTATTTTGTTAAGATAAATTTCAAAATGGTCCCCTAATCGTAGTTTTGGTCAAAAATATTATTGTATTCCTTTTTAGCCAGTAATACTTCACAAAATACTTTCATGAAAATCTGGTCAAATCAGAACAAATGGTAAACTTCATAATTGGAAGGAAAATTATGTAACACAAATTAGAGATTATAAGTTATCAAAATTTAACTAAGGCATAAAATATTTTACCATGTGTTTTCTGTAAATGATGTTTGAAATCCTGACCAATTAACACGAAGATTTGTTCCTTGCACAGAAATAGGCAATTAAAATTATTTTTTTTTTTGTTTTATTTAAAAAGAAGAAAAAAGTAGGAATGAGAAGGACAAATGGTAAACTTAACAAATGACAAGCAAAACTGGCTAACTCAAAAATTGTTGGAATATATTTTCGTATTCTATTGACCAGTATTAAAGGGAGGGTGCAGATGGCAAAAAAAGCGTACTGAAAGGGAATTTTTCAATAAAGACGGAGTTTAAAAGCTGAAATTGTGCAGTTAGCAAAGACAGATGATCATTTCAGTACAGGGTGGTTATCCTGTTATTATTAACCTAATGTCTGATCGTTAGTATGAATTTCGATAAAACTTGGTATATATGTTATATGGACTAGCAAAAGGAAATTTGCTATAAAAATAGTTAAAATTTCAAACAGTAGAAGAGGTTTTTTGTATACGAGAAAAGAAGGTATTACAATTTGGAGTTGTTTAATGTTATTTAAAATGCCAGTAGAATCTACGGTAAAAGTATTCTGGTTTATGCAAGAAGGAATTTAACAAGATGATAACTGAATTTAAGGTTACTGGGGTGGCTTATAAGTGCTTCAAATAGGAGGAAAGTTTTTTTAAAAAGGAAACTAAATTGAAATCAACATGTAACAATAATCAATAATCAACTCTCAGTAAGATGTCAATATTGCTGTTATCAAAAGTCTTTGTGCTACGGTTAAACATATAATAACGCGTTTTGAGCATGTGTTCAAAAATGGAATGCACATTCATTAAATCAACTTTCTGTCCCCAATGTGTGATTTTTACACTTATATATTAATACTTCCAGTTTCAATTAGTGTAGATTTCTTTTTATTGTGATTCATTTAAAGTATATAATAAGTTTCATTATATTTCATCAGTTATAATGGTGTTGGTCTAAATGGTTTAACCACTTTATATGAGAAGCACTATCATTTTGTCTCTGATAATAGTGCTTATCATATGTAATACTGAAACTGCATTACATGTGTTTCATACATTTTGCTTTATTTTAATACAGCACTAAGATTCACTTAATTCTTTGTTAACTTATATAAGCACAAGCAAACTAATAGAAAAGGTTGCTTATATTTTTGTGAATTAGAAATTTTTTACAGCTTCAATAGCATAGTTTGTGCAAATATAACATGTTTCTGTTAAAAAATATATTAGAGTTGAAAGAAATAAAAATAGCGTTAAATAAAATTGCATTAATAAAAATAGCGTTAGCAATACATAAATGTACATACTTGGAAAACCTTCTCCACGTTAAACATGCAGAATGGTCTGGTTTACTATCCTGGCCATTTTTTCCCGAATAACATACTTGTCTTTCCATATCAGCATAGTACCATAGGAGTTGATTCATACCACAAGCAAACGCAAACAGTACAAGGGTGTAGACAAAGAAAAACTTTATAATATCAATTACCATTCGACCAAGGCATATTTGGAGAGGTCCTAAATAAGGATTCACCGAAAAAATATACACCAGTTTCAACGAACTGAAAAGAAAAGAAATAAGTTAGTATAACAAAATACAAAGATGCATAAAATAGAAATATATATATATATAATAGNATGTGGCTTATTTTACATATGTAATATACTCTCTTATTACATATGTTGCTGGCAGTCAAAAGGGAGAAATCTGAAATTCTCCAATGGCTCATTGTTGTCTTTCAGCCATTTTCTAGTTTTAGCTATCACTTAAAGTTGTAAAAATGTTAAAAAAATTCAAATAATAACGTTTTTTTTAAATTTATGATTTGAAAATTTTAAAGTAAAGTAAGTATAAATAGGAACGTTTCAGGGAAAAATATTATTTTTTTATGAAACATTGTTATGCGCAAAAAATGTGGCTTATCTCACAACTAACTCTATAATTACCTATGTTGTTTGCAGACAAAATGGACAGATTTTAAATTCTCCAATGGCTGTTGTCATTCAAGAAATGGTGGCTTGTGAAGTTGCTGGCGTTATCTTTACATGTGACCCTGTTAATAATAATCCGGATATTATCACAATAACGGCTAATTATGGATTAGGAGAGGTAACTACATCACTTGCATGTTCACTATTTTTCTAAGAGTTTAGTTAGATTTAATATATATATATATATATATATTATAGATATATATATCCAGAAAAATCGCTAGACCTATTTTTGAACTAGTTATCAGAAATAGTAATTCCCTTTTTGCATGCGACTTAGAAGTTCACCGGGGCTTGTTTGCAAGATTTTCCCTAGTTTCTGAGAGTGAACACTTCGATTTTGGATTATTCGTTTTTTTTGCTCTCCATACAATGATTACTTAACAAAAACTTTTTATTTTTATATATTAGACGCAGTATGAGATTCTATATAAAATCGTAATTATCAGATGATAGTATACAGCTTTATTTTTTATATGAGAGTGAAAACGGTTTGCATTTGTTTATATTCGTGTAACAATTATTTAAATTAGGCGAAATATAATGTTAATTCGACGATTGCATAAATTAGACAATATATTATATAAATATAGAATATTTGTTATATCAGGTATTATATTATTATATTGTAATAATTAGATCAACTTATTAGACCCATTTTAGTTTTTTAATAATTACATGCTTTGCACGAGTTTATATGCAATACTTTGATATTTAAACATCCATGTAATGGGATTTTATTCAGGAGATTTTTTTATATATTTCCTATTTGTATTTACTTTTAACGTATTGCATTACAATGTTAACCAACTGATACACGAACGTAAACAAGTGCAAACTGGTTACAGCAGCGTAAAAATAATAAAGCTGTAAAGTATCACCTGATAATTTAAGATTTTACATAGTGCGTCTACTAATTTGGCCAGGGACTGTATATACTTTGGATCTATCTAATTCTTCCTAAATTATTGTTTTATTAAAAATTATGAACAGGTTTTTTTAGTCAACATAAACTCGCCTTGGATTCGAGTACATTTTTAATCTCTTAAGTATTATTCTTGAATCTAAATATTATCACACCATTCTTCCGAATGTTTAGATATTTAATATTATTTTAACGGCCTAAACTAGCTCTACATCAATTTTGTAAAGATTAAATTGCAATATCAATAGCAAAGTTGAGATGACTTCTTCAATGTAATATATATTGTTGGCTCTTATTTATTGTCATTAGTACTTTCAGCTGAGAAGGGAAAAATGTAGGTTTTATTGTGTTTCTTTCATGTCTATTTATTTAATATCAGTGTAACTTTTTTTGAATTCATTTTTTTCAAAATCACCCTCCTACAATAGCAAACAAGGGATATCAGTCACTTCCCCATACCAGTCACATACATCTTTCAATATTGTTCTCAAAAACAAAAACAAAATCAGCCTCCTACAATAGCAAACAAGGGATATCAGTCGCTTCCCCATACTAGTCACATACATCTTTCAATATTGTTCTCAAAAACAAAAACAAAACCAGCCTCTTACGATTGCAAACAAGGGATATCAGTCACTTCCCCATACTAGTCACATACATCTTTCAATATTGTTCCCAAAAACAAAAACATAATCAGCCTCCTACAATAGCAAACAAGGAATATCAGTCACTTCCCCATACTAGTCACATACATCTTTCAATATTGTTCTCAAAAACAAGAACAAAATCAGCCTCATACAATAGCAAACAAGGGACATCAGTCACTTCCCCATACTAGTTACATACATCTTTCAATATTGTTCTCTATATATTACCCGTAAACTGTCTAAACGAATGGAATCAATAGCCAACTGATTTATTTCGATTATAAAAACGTGTGGTGAAGCTTGCTAGTAAAAAAAAAGTTTTTCGTTTCTTAAACCACTGTTTCATACCTTCTGACTCTTATAGGTGCTGTGCGTAATCACGTGTATTTACTTTATAACCGGCATTGAACAGTTGACCTAATTCTCAGTTTACAACTATCAGTGTTGAAATCTTTAGCCTTGTAATTTTGAACCCAATTTAGAACTCCGTGGAGGACTTGTTGATGGAACTAAACCACATTTGCGTTACATGGAGAGGAAAACCACAAAACCTCATACAGTTTGCCCAATGGCAAGGGCATTCTAACCCATTCTCTACCACTTAGTTCTACCCCTGAGGATACTTTAAGTCAGCACAGTGGTAGGTGCGAGCTAGGAGGTTTCTACTCGTGCTTCTATTTACAAAGCTTTATTGAATTTATTTTTGAAACTGTAACATTCTGTTGGAACCGTGGAAAGCTATTTCTCCTCTCTTTTTATCGGTTTCTACTCGTGCTTCTATTTACAAAGCTTTATTGATTTTATTTTTGAAACTGTAACATTCTGTTGGAACCGAGGAAAGCTATTTCTCCTTTCTTTTTATCGGTTTCTACTCGCGCTTCTATTTACAAAGCTCTATCAAATGTATTTCTGAAATTATAACATTCTGTTGGAACCGAGGAAAGCTATTTCTCCTCTTTTTTTATCGGTTTCTACTCGCGCTTCTATTTACAAAGCTCTATCAAATGTATTTCTGAAATTATAAAATTTTGTTCGAACTAAAGAAGGTTTCTTTTCCTCTCTTTTTTTTCGGTTTTCACTTGCGCTTCTATTTACAAAGCTTTATCAACGCCTTCATAACAAGTTTAATAAGGCTACACAGCATATAATAAACAACGGAACGCATTTAACTACTATGTAGAATTTTTTTAGTATGGTTATAGATATGTTTGTTCCTTTAAAATTAGGTTTAACTTATATTCTAATTTCTATTTTCATTATTTATTTTTTTAAAATTAAGATTGCTCTAATTATGCTTTCCTTGAAATTTATTTTTAATGCTATTCTATTTTAACTGTGTTTTAACATTTTTAAATCTGAAAATGCGCAATAATTTTTTTCGTAAACAGAAAATATAGGTAAAATAAAATTATAGGTAGGGAAGTTGAGGGCTAGAGTGGACAATTTATAAATTTGAAGAAAAAGTCTCATTAATCATTATATTGAACATATCTAGTACTTATTTTTCATTAAAGCTTGAGTTAATATTATTATTTTGAATCAGATCAAAAATAATTTGAAAATACACTTTTTTGATTATTTTTTAAAGGTGTTAAGTCATAGGTCTATCTACACTATTGCAGACACGTCTCATGCCTAGTGTGGAAAAATCATAAAATTTGTTTTTTAATCAATGTTGCTTATAAATTTTTTTAAAAACTTATGTTAAAGCTTAAGAAATGTGTACATTTCTCGGTGTTTTGTAAAAACACTCTTTAGTGATACAAAAGTTTTTTCATTTATTAAATAAATATGATTAAAAAATATCGCTAATTAATACAAATTTTTTTTTCGTCATTTCCACCTAGCGAACCGTCTTCCTTGATACAGATATCCAATCAGTACTATTTCATGATTTTTTTCATGAGAAATTTCATTGAAAAATGAAAGTGTTGTCCTTCAAAAATTTCAAAATTTTGTAACTGAAACCGTATTATCTAGATAACTATTTCTGAGAGCACAATTTATAATACATTTATACAAACTTTTAGTCCATTCTTCAGAACAATATTCAGCTCACGACATGTTCACATATTAGCAAAGTTATTTTGTAATCTCAATATTTATCACATTAAAACAACTTTTCTCTTTTCAATAATCGATCATCAAAATTTTTACTTTATTGACATTTTAATTGAAATATTGGCGTCTATTGGTGTCACGTTCTTCTAATTCCTTAACTAAGTCCGAAAGTTTAGATGCTTTCTCATGTAAAATGATTGCCTTCTTCTACTATATCCCATTATAGATACCATCACGTAATAGTCAGCTGTTGTGACTGCCCCAATATCATCTTCAGATGGCAATTCTTTTTTCTTATTATAGCCTATTAGATGGCACAAAGAAAATGTTGTTATCATTTAACAATGAATGAATGCATGCTATAGATAGCTATTTCTTTCCTTTTTTTTAGATAAGGACGTTTGGCTGAAAAGATTTACTAATTATTGGAGAGTACATAGCTTTTTTCATATTTAATTCATTCAACGTTAATTCAATTTTATTAGTCGTCCAAGGTTGACAACTCTTACAACTTATTATTTGGCTTAATATTTTCGTTAGTGAAATCTGCTTAAATAATTCATATTAAGCTCTAGGAATAATAAAAACAATTTTTTACAATTAATTTTATTGAAAAGGGAACGGTTGAAAATTGGCGTTATTATGAAGTTCTTACTTGGAACTACAGCATCGCAAACCACGCGAAATATTAGTTGTGAATTTTTGCTCTAGTGTTAGTTGGCATAATTGTTTGTTGAACAAGGATGAATCAACAAAACACACTCCAAAGCGTAATATTAAAAAAAAAAAAAAAAAAAAAAAAAAAAAAAAAAAAAAAAAAAAAAAAACAGATCGTGTTTAGTGCTTTTTTGCAGTGCGACTTATTACGATTTTTTGAAACCTAGATCATCAGTCCCAATGTTGTGGTGTTTCTAATGCCAGTCCTGCTAGCCTGCTTGGTGAAACCAAGCGAGTTTAAGGCAGTGGGTGCGTTTTTGCTTTTCAGTGGTACCATCCATGGCCAAGAATACGACTTTAGCCACACACACATCACAACCCGTTTATAGGGCGGACCCATTCATCCATCCATTTATTCATCCACAGATCGAAATTTTGACCTGAACCAGAGAACGATCATATCTCCAGTTCAGTACTTCCTGAGGTATGATTTGTTATGTGAACATGGAGGACTTTGTGACCAGATAGCATTTGCTACACTGGGAGTCTTTGGTTAGCGGGGATCGAACTCACGCCCTCTTGGACATAGGCTCAACCCCCTACCTACCAGGCTATCACGGCCTTTCAGTCACAATAGCGGCTAATGAGGCAAAATGATACAAAAATAGCCAAGATTGGTCAACAGATATTATTTTTTCTGCCACTAATTACACGAAAGATTACGGCATAGGAATTGAAGATCCAGCTTTCACTGACTATCAAATCTTTCTAATTTTGAACAAGTTTTAAAAGAATTAATTCTGAACATGAACTGGCCTTCTAGAATCTCATCACTTGTTTGAAAGGCGAAAATTTGTGGAGAAAATATGGGTGCGTACTTTGATGACAGCTAACAACCATCTTTCCCTTTTCATTTAATATAGATCCATATAATAATGTCTTTCATTATTATTAGATACATTTTTCAAATTTTAAGCAATAAAAATTTGAATAAATATGAAAATTTTGTACCTTTGTTTATTCTACATGAACCAAATTCTATAAGTATTCTTTGGAAAGATATTAAATAACATGCACCAAAAAACTAAAACTTTTTAAAATAGTTTAGTGTCTTAAATATTATTTTAAACGTCTTTATTTTAAAACATGACTTTTAATTAATGCCGCTCTTGCTTTTCGGAAGGAAATAACCAATTACTTGATATTCTTATTGTTTAAAAAAGCACATTTTCTTAGTCACTTTTTGTTACCAGAATAATCTATCTTGTTTCAATTTTATAGGTAATTTAATGTAATTTTTATATATTAAGATTTCATAAAACCATGTAGAAATATGTATCAATAATTTCTGAGGAACCACAAAGCTTTACAAAGGAAATCGGTGCAAAATCGAGCTCGTCAAAGGATCACTTAAGTGTGAGATTAAGGTAACTTCCCTGGCTTATTAATTTCGTTCCCCTGGCGTATTTTCCTGGCGTATTTATTTCGCTGGCGTATTAATTTCGTATTACCCTGGCGTATTAATTTCGTATTACCCTGGCGTATTAATTTCGTATTACCAAAAATAGAGAAATGCGTTTCTTTTATTTTATTTCAGCAAAATAATAACAATGAATATTTGTTTTTACCCACAGTAATCGCGTAATTTTTGAGCGGCGCTCGTGATTTCGGAATTGTTCTTAGCAATATTTCGAGTCCCGCGAACTCAGAAGTTTTGACGAAGTTGCGTCCCAATTCATACATTTACTTATAAAAATTTCAGTGTATTGAGACTTATTACACGTAACCGTAAATTCTCAGAAAATATACATATTTAATTGTAAAATTATAATTCCTCGAAATTGCACGTAAACTTTTATTATTTTGATATTTATTTTTAAAAAATTCATATTGATATTTTACTACATTCTAAAAAAATATTCCATATCCAAATGTTAACATTTGATTTTTATTCATGAATGCACTTAACAAAATTTAAAATTTGGAAGGAAAAAAATGGGGGAGGTGCAAGTTTCTTGTAATCCTGAATATGTATATATATGTGTATGACACTAATTTTTTTAAAATATTAAATTAGCTTTAATTTATATTTCAAGGTAGGAACTAATTATGTGGGGGTAAAAAAAACACTGGATGGAATTGTTTTGTCGTATGACCTTTTATATTGGATCAATTGGTATATTAATTTAACTTCTGAATAAATTGTACCTTTTATAAAAAAATTTTTAATATTAATTTTGTTTGTCCAACGGAATAAACAGTTTTTAAGTAATGTAATAAATAGAAATTTATTGTATTGGTGTATATAACAGGATCAGCCTCCAGACGGCACCACTATGATAAAGTTTAAATTCAATCACAATAATGATATTTAGTAGAAATTTTAGTTATCCTTTTAAGAGGGGATTTTTTGGGTGAATTGTGTGTATTTAAGTTTATTAATATTTAATGAGTATTGTATTATCACTTCTATAGTGTATTAGTAGGTTTGTGATTGTTTTATCTCATGGATCTTTTTTTTGTTGTTCTGACGTCCACTGGTTGCGTGGCGGCTAGTGAGGGAGTAAACAGGTCAATCTAGATTCTTTCGCCTTGCTGAGAGGAGAATAAAAGGGACGTGAAGAGTGGCTGAGAGACGGAGCGTGCCCGCAGGAAGGTTGGTCCGAGACAGCACCGCTGAGAGGATGAATCGTGGTCTTGAGGAAAGCTAAGCTGGAATCTCTGGGTTGATGTGCTATGTTCGAGACTGTTTGCCAAACCCGAGTGTACCCATATTGAAAGTCCGATGCTCCTCTTGTGCCAGCTGCCTTAATAGTAGAAAGCCTAAAGAAATTGGAGTAGTGGGAGTGAAACTAGGAGTTTGCTTTGTCCACGAGTCTAGCTGCAATTCCGGTGGGCGTTCCAGGAAGGTGGTCCGTAAATTCAATTTTTATTTATAACTTTAATTTCGATTTGGATACCATTTTAGAAGAAGAATTTACCCTAAATTTTAAACTGTTTCTACTGTGTTTTTAGATACATATTTTAGGGAAAGCCATTGATATTTAAGGTTAATTACAGGGGATAGAGGTATAATAATCTAAATTTTAAGTGATTTTAGTAGATTTAGAATGAGATTGCATTTTATTTCTTCATTGTCTTTTTTTGATTTGGATTAATGGAATGTTATGCCTTAGAATTTTAAAATTGCATTATATTGAAAAGGTTAATCTTGAGTAGAAAAATTTGGAACTTGAAATAGTGTATAATTTGGAGATGTTTTATGCCCATGTTAGCATTTGGAAATGATTGGAGTTATGTTTGTTGAAAATTTAGAGTTGTAATAAAATTAGTTTTAAATGTTAAATGTTTCCTGTAATTCCTTGGTTATTTGTCTATTGTTGAACCTGGGTAACTGTTACCAAAGTTAAATTTAGCGATTACAGCGTAACCAAAGTTTGAAGGGTGACAGTACAGTAAGTATGGACTGGGCCTTGGTTTATAAACAGCCACCTCCGATGAATGCTGGTAATACGTGTAGACTTTACTGTTACGAAGAATGTATGATTGAAGGATAAAGTCAATGAACGGCTATCTATCCATGTATGCAGACTCTGACTTATAAACAGTCGCCCTATGAGAGAAGGAAAACGAATAAAAGAGCTTATTCCTAATTTAAGTTTGTAAGTTATACTCTACAATTTTATTTACTAATTTTACTATTTAAATATATTTTTAATAGTTTTTGTCAATTTATTCTCCTATTAGGGGTTTTTTTGCCTAAATTTTTCAATTATTATTATTATTATAGTGTTTATCTCATAGATAATAGCACTAAAATATAAGTTACTTCATATTTTTTTACCATACATATTTTTCCCCCAATTATTTTCTACCATATAAGCTAAAAGCACATTTTTATATTTTTTCCTCGTAGCGAATTTTGTTACCGTTTGATTAATACATCTAACTTTTGGCATTTTTATTTTTTTACTCCATATCGGTAAGTTTTTTCTTGCTTTGCTTCTTTTATCTTAAACTCGATTTCAATTGCATTTTTTTCTAATATTTTATTAACAAAGACGAATGATAAAGAATGATTTTTGTCTTATTATAATTATACTTTGTTTTGAAATGTCGCTATTCACTATCGTAAATGAATGCGTCCTGATGGGAACCTTCGCGTTATATATATATATATATATATATATATATANCCATATATAATAAATACATTTCAATTAAGTAAAGTGCAGTCTTGTATTTTTGTGTCCGATTTCGTAATTTAATTAAAAGTTAACTTATTTCAATAATAATGTTAATTATTTAGTATACCTGAGATTAAGTCTGTGAAAATCCGATTAGTAGAACAAAAGTTATTCAGTACTATCTATTTTTTGACATATATTTAAAAGGAATAAATAAATTTTTTCCTCTATAGTTTCAGCGAATATAAAAGGTCGTTGCGGGAAATTATACGTTACGAGGAAAACGATGTATCATCTTCTTTCGTTTATTTACTATCATGTATTGTATATTAAAGGGTTTATTTTAGCCCTTGCAATCCGTAAAAATACTATCAAAAAAGTAAATCGATTCTATTCCAAATGTATCTTAGAAACATTTCTTGAATATAAGAAGAGGCTTACCTGAAAATATTAGCTGTTGCGAAAAGTCCCTCTGCGATGAGGATGGGATCCCATGCGTCCCACTTTTCACGGGGCAGATAAGCAGTTCCCGTATCTCCTGCTATCTCTTTTTGCACCTGCACAACAAAATATTCTATTTATTCAAAGTTTAGCATAGATTTAAAATGAAGAGATATGTTCTATAAAAGAGATTTTCATAAAAAAATTGTTCAATAAGAGCGTGATTTGATCGATATATTAGTATATATAGAGCCTTATTAAAATGAAATTTGCTTTCATTAAAGTGGTTGATTTTTTAAGCCGTTAAATCAATAAATAGAAATAAAGACGATTTCAAGAAACTTTACAAATACACTAAAAGCCACATATCATTCGCAACATTAATATTTTATTTTAACTGATTTAATTTACATTTGAGAGTTTGATCAAATATTCACAGAAGGGATTTAAAATATTACCGTATTCTTGTTTGGTTCGCAGAATTTGAAATTAAATATTTAACATTCTTTGAAAAGTTTTTGAGTATTACATGGAATGTAATCCGCTCGAATTTATTATTGAGTACCCCTTCTACAGCTTCCTATTTACCCTCCTCTGTACTTTAGTAGCATTACAACCTGTAACTTGATTTCTTTTATTCGTGAATGGCAAACTGGAATTTTTTATTTATATGTTTCCGCATCTTTTAAAACCTGAGAAGTAAAACGATAGATTTTTTTTTTACCATTTGTGTAACACGTGCCGGTTTTGATTATAGCAAACAATAATAAACAATGATTATACCAAACAATGATAGTAAGGAAGATTTTTAACCTGTTTTGATATTGCAATGATTATATTTTTGCAAATGTGATTTTAAAAATTGCTAATTTTATAGTTCAGTGTTTTTATTAGTGGATGTAACTGCGTTTGTAATTCGATTATTAATGCTAATAAAGACAAATTTAATACAGTAGAAGTCCATTATAACGATAATTCACTATAGCCGGTGGAATTGTCGCTATAACGAGCCTTTATGCGTTAATACACATAGTTAAATGCTGAAAAAGCAATAAAAACGTCTGACACTAAACATTAACAAGCATTAAAATTCTAACAAGTTAATAACAACCAAATCGCGACAATTTTTTCTTTAAGACGCGAGGAACGAAAAAAAGGAGTGCATTAGTTCTTGAAATCATCGATATCACTAAATTTGTAGTTAATAGTATTTTAATAATTTGTTTTAATTTTTTTTTAAAAGAGGAGATTCCTGAAAATAGCGGAATTTTTCATTTGTAAAGAGGTAGAAAATTTGACCGTTCACACGCTTTCATTATAAACATAAAAATATTAAATTGTAAGAAGGAAATAAAGAGAAATTATGTAGTTTTTCACTTTTCTGTATTGATACCAAAGATAAATAAATGTCTTCCATTATCCTCTCATCATATAATATTTCTCACTAAAACAAAAAATTGAGATTCTCTATAAATAAATGACGCTGTAGCGAAATTCTGGCAATTTTTAACTCGTTTCAAATGCACAGTTTTTCGATTTTTAATATTAGCATTTTGGCATTGAATTGGAAACCTACAGTTAATAACAGACTTCTCGAAATAAGTAATTATATCGAATTCTTAGAGTGTACGTATAATGCGGTGAATAGGAATACTTAAATAATTTATGATGTATTGATTAGATTTTTACGTACTAACATGCAATGTTAAGGATTTAATAGATAAAAAATAAAAATTAATTATTCATTTTAATTAAAGAAATGGGACACAAAAACGTATTTTTTTTTCTTTTTTATTAAGCATACCTTTTTTTTAAAAAAAAAAGAATTCATATTCTAGAGCATCAAAATCTGTTGAGTGCGAGCTCTTGAAAATTTAAAAATGTGACTGTTGGGAAATTTTATTGCTCACAACTTATAAATTTTTGATTCGCTGAAATTATTTAAAAGAAATAAAGAAAGACGCAAAAAGTTAAATTAACATTAATGTGAGTGAACTTTCTACTGCTTTCTTGGCTAAATGATTAGAACTATATTTTCCAGACTCCCTTTTATTCTAAGGTTAAGAATCCGTCGGAAAAAAGGCATGTTTATTAAGAGAAATTATGCTCTCACTTGCTTAAAATATAAATTAATTTATTTTTATAACTAGATTTTTCAATGATTAAGATTGCATGTTTGTACGTGATAGTTTGGTAACTGGAACAAAAGTTTTAAAGAAATTCCATTTTAGCGTTTTTTAGTATTCATAAATTTCGGAAAAAGTCTTTATTAGTTGATTATAAATATGAAAATTAATAATATTTTATTTTTCGAGTGTTATTAACGTTGTGTGTAGCGTAACGTTTTTTGACGTTCAGTTCTATAAAAAAGAGAAAATTTTGTAAAAATTAATTCTCACTGAGAAGGTAGGAAAAATAATAGCATTAAATACATACATTTGGTAGAATACAATATAAATTTATATTTGTTTCAGTAAAGTATTTAAATATTATTTAATATGTATTGTAAATAGTTATATGATAAATATATTAGTATATATAGCGAATTTGTAAAGAAGAAACTCAACAATGTCATACTTTTGTTTACTTTACTTTTTCATATTCTTATCAATGCTACTCTTATATTTACAGTCCTGAAGTCAAAAGTTTTTAATGTTATGTACGTCTATTAATGTTACGTAAAACCAATAAAATGATTAAAAAAGCTTTAAAACATTACTATGTCTATAATCTCTTAAGTAATAAGTCTATAACCTCTTCTATGACATAAGAAAATCGTCAGTAAGTAGTTAAGCCTATTAACGCAGTAGGGCACTGTACACATTTAATCAGAAAAGGATTCAATTTTGCCGTGCTTTGAAACCATGAGGTGTATTATTATTATTTATTATTATTTTTATCTGTTTTTTTTTTTGCCGTGCAGCGTATTTTCATCGAAGCATCGAAGCTGACATAATTTACTTCTCATTGGTTTCAATACATTTATGATTTGTAATCGTTTCCATTTTTTTGTTTCCTGTTCGAAGGATATAGCTCTTTGTTTTAAGTCCGAAATATTATTTCGTTCATATTAACGATAGCAATGAAATTTTCCAGGAATATTAATCCCTTTGGAACAGGCAGAATGAGAAAAAAGCACTTGACCAGACCCGTATGCTCATAGTGTATGCGTACTAAAGAGTGCCTATGCGTACTAATACTAAAGTATTGTATTGAGATCACGTGAGATCTTGGACCACTGGAGTCAGAAATGCTTGTTTTATATATACTGTTGCGTCTTGAAAAGAGAATCACGCAATCACATATATGTGATCACGTTCTCAAAGGGGTTAAACAGTAATAACAAAATATTTTGATTTAAAATATTCTTTTTTAAAGAAAAATAGTTCATTAACTGCAAAAATGTTCACATAATTCAAGATTTTCTATACTTGGAAATGTAAACTCATTGGCCGCCATCTTTAACTACAGTTTAATAACAGTTTAAAAAGTGAGTTATTACTAAAAGTTTAATAACTATAAGACTAATATGCATAAGAGAAATATTTCAAGAACGGAAAACATTATTATATGGATATCTTAGTGATATATTCAGATGATTTTTTTTTTAATTTTTAATCACATAAAATATATTTATTTATAAATATATTTATAAATATATTATTTATAAATATATTTATATATATCGGGTTTTACTTATTAACTGTTTTTAATGTACATTTTTAGAAATCTCATTAAGCATAACTAGCTTAAATTATATTGCAGTGAGTGCTTAGTTTTGTACTTTTTAGAATAATAGGATTATCCCACAATTTAAAAAAAATGTAAAATTTATGATATGACTAGAATGATATAAAAGAACCACGTGAAAATCAATGAGGATATTATAACTATTAGATAGTTTGAGTAATAATTAATTTATTGTTTTTACTACCTATTTAGCATATTTAATGTCTCGAGCCATTAAGATTAGAATTAAGGTGAAAAATGTAACCATTCATTCAAAAGTTCTATTTAAATGTCAATTTTGAACCAAGTATGAGAGCCAGTAGGAATATCAGCTTTATACTTGGAATTCTATAGTAAGTAAATGTTTAATAAAATGAGTTAACATAAGTAGTTAATGTAAACAATTTTCTTAAAAGAAGCTTTACAAACTTCCGGTTCCCTCCCATTGTATTATGTCTACCTTTAATATTCTAGTATTTCAATTTAACACCAATTTTAACCATCAAAAGATTTTTCTCTAATTTATACATTTTAAAAGGTTTTAAATTAGTTTAAGATCACGACATAATAAAGCCTTGTAAGAGTGTCTTATTAGGATATATCTGTGTTAAATATCGACGTTTCTTATTTTTTAGGTAGCATGCTTGTGGAGTTATCCAAGTTCTTTTGTAGTCGTCCAATTAGTTTGTAGGCCCATTTAAATTAAATTGAATTTATTATTAACACTATAAGTATCATAATAATGGATGGCGTGTTTTATCATGACAAGACCATAAAAATAAATCAGAATTAGTAACCCGAAGACTTAGGAAGAACTTTAAACCCTAGTTCCAACTGTGCTTATCTTTTTATACGGCTCTTCATAGATTTGCGCTTTTTTTTCGCACGCTAATTAGCTATCTAAACACAAAGTTCACCCTTTCTTCGCTCGGATAAAATTTAATCTGTTTATCGAAGTCTGTTTGTGTGTTCTCCACAAACCTACGGATTGTCAAAAGAATCAATTCTCTAACAATATATATTCAATTTGAAAAATTGTATGTACCTGAAAATATGCAATGATTCTTAAAGCTACCGTGGCGACATAAAGTGAGTTTGTGATGAAATCGATGATATTCCACATATCATTAATGTACTGCAATGGACCACTATCCCACAACTGTTTAATTTCACTCCATATGAGACCTGAAAAAGAAGTGTAATGCATTTCTAACAAAATATAATTCAAGCCTGTTTACATAATTATCAAGCGTTAGAAAGAAACTAAATTTTTAAAAATATATATAATCTGATAAATTTAATATAATAATAAACTGGTTATCTGAAGAAATTCTAGGGAGCCAAATTCACATGCTTTTTTAAAAATATTGCTCAATAAATCTGAGTTAACGTATCAAATACTTTTTTCTTCTATTTTAGAATATAATTTCGTTTTACAAGTAAGAAAGAATTTAGAAATATGGGAATTTGGGAAGAATGAACCATTTTATCTATTTTTATACATTTATAAAGAGGATTGTTAAATTTTTTAAAAAAAAAACTGCTTAATATTGCATAAAAAAATAGATTGTAGCAAGATATTAAGCAGAATCAAATGTTGTTTCTGTCTATCATCCATTTACGAGAAAAAGCAAAGAGAAATAATCAACACGAAAGTAGTTATTTGTTGTTTCAAGTTCCTGTTGTTGTAAGTCATTAACGTGCACAGATAAAAATATTCTTTGTGTAAAATGCTCTCTTTTGTTTATTTTTAAATGTTTAAAAAAATAGTATTAAAGAATATTTGAGCCGAAAGAGGAAATCAAGAAGAGATATCGCATGAAAGAAAACTTCATAAATATTAAAAAGATTAAGAAGCATTCAATAAAGCGAATATATTAGAACAGGTAATTCGGTGTATTAATGCAAACTAAATCGCCTAACTGACCAGTAAGTCAGATTTGTTATTTTTTATGAGAAAAAAAAATTTCATATTTTAGAAGCAACTAACATTTCTTTAGACATTTTAATTAGGTACTGTTTCTCAGAGTTTAAACTAACTTTTAATTCTCGTGGGTAAATCCTCCTTCATAGTGGGTCAAACTACCTTGATGAAGGCAAGTTTGACCCAATTTATACACTCTTGAAATATTATTGATATAAAGCATAGTTTATAATTTAATTAAAAGATAATATTGAAAACAGATGACAAGCAGTATAAACTATCAAATGCTGATAACTCATGAATTTTACTATGCTTACAAAATATTAGAAAAATAGTTCCGTATAAAGCGTTCAAACCTCCTATACTTCTCTTAATTGCCTAAAAAGAAAAGGTGAACGGTTTATAAGGGTTGAAAAGCAAGTTTTTAAATTAATTTGATTTGTATTTTTTAAATAAATTTTTTTCTAATCTACATAAACTATAGAATATTTGAAAAACAGTTTTTGAAAATAAGGAAGTAAAATTAATACGAAATTACAAAAACTATTAAAGATATTTTAATGGAGAACAATTACGCAATATGATTAGTGGCATGACAAAAAACAAAGTTGTTTGGGTAAAACATTTTCAGCGCTTTTCGCTTTGCAATATATTTCAACAATAGAAAAGTAAACACATGTTAACTTACAATAATCATTAAAAATACTTTAGCTGAATACAATTGCATATCTAAAATTAGTGATCAAATAATAAATAATAACTTCAAACATCAAAGAGGATTTTTGGGAGATTTCCCTTATGCTTCACGTTTTGCTGTATATTTCATAAAATAGATAAGGGAAATATTACAAACTTTAAACTGTTAAACATAAATTAGTTGAGTATAAATACATAACGAGAAATAGTTATTTTGAATGTCAAAAAGAATCTAGGCAAATTTACTTTTCTTTTTGCTGTATAGTTCACCATAGTAAAGTCAACTTAATAAAGTTAACTTAATAAAGTAGATAAGGCCATTAGAAATCCACGAGCCATTAGAAATACATTAGTTGAATACAGCTATATAATTATAAATAGGGATCTAAATATAAATATTGATTTTAAGCGCGAAAAATGGAATTCTTTTAACACTTTTCCCTTTTCTATATATTTTTAATATAGATAAGTAAAACTAAAAAAAAAAAAATTAACAAAACTATTGAAGGTGCATTAGTTGAAGACTATTTATAATTATGAATAGTAATTTAACAAGCATATTTCTTTTAAACGTCAAAAACAGTCAGCAAATTTTTTTGTTCACTGTATTCATGAATCTTTGTTTATTATCATTCTTTTATTTCATAAATATTGATATAATATTATTTTTGTAATATGCTTACATAATTTATGTTTAGAATGTCTTAAGAAATAGATTATAAATAATTTAAAATTACAAAAAATCTTATAGATAACCGCAATCTTCAATTGAAACGTTTTTTTTTCTTATTTTTTCAAGAAGAAAAAAAAAGAAGCAAAATGACAGCAATACAACTATTAAATCATTTTAATACTTTACGTGTAAATGATTGCATCTCAGAATGCTTTTAAATTATAAAAACTGGGTTATTAATGTTTTTAGCAAATAGAAAAAATTGCGAACAAAATTATTGATTCTCTAGAAACCTCTACCCGTGATATTTTGGACTTTAGGGTAAAATTTTGAATTTTGCTTCCTTCATGTTTTTTGCACTTTATAAGATTTAGATGATATTATATTATTAGGAAGGATAATTTCTTTATAAAATAGGTATAATAATCGGTCAGTTTATTAGAGTAGGAAAAACAGGCCTTGATAATTAAAAATTATTATTGATTTAAAACATTAATTGACCTAATTATTAATTAAAAACCCCATGCGCTGAAGCGTGACAAGAGAAAAAAAAAATTCGAAACCTGCACTTAAAAGATTTCGTTTGATGCAATTTTTCAAATTTTTTTATCCAAAATTTATACAGGGAACTTATGCAAACCAGAAATAAGTAAACTCGATCCTAAATTGATAAGAGAAACAAGCAGAATGAAGAAAGAAAGAGAGAAAGCAAATTTCAGCCTGCACTGACATTCTAAAATTCTTCCCTCGGATAGAATCCATAAAATTAAAAAGCAAACTGCATATGACTGGCTTCCGAAATTCTAAAGCAAATATAAAAAAATATATTAAAATCTGAATGTAACAAAAAAAAAACAAAAAAAAACAATTGCATTACAAAAATCATCTGAATGTTCTGTGTCACTTGATATAATTCCGGTGCTATTAGAAACAATGTGAAGGCCTAATAAAATAATGATGTATGATTAACGAATGAACTATATTCCAACCATGTAAAAATACTGTTTTCAGACTTGCTATTACTTCAGATGTCATTTTATCTGAAAAATATTATTTTAAATTTAGTTTTTATTTATTAGTTTGACAAATTAATATTAAATTTCAGCTATCAAACAAAATCATCAATTAATTTTCCGAAGTTCACATTTTTCAAACGTTATAAAAAATAATAAAATTCCGTATGTTTTCAATATTTTAAAAAAATTTCCTTATATGATTTAAAGCATCAGTTTTTCCTGAATTTTCCATCGTCGGAAAATTAATCAATTTTAATAAATAAAGTCCTATAAAATTTGGGTAACATTTCAAATAAATTTTATATTCTTTTCAAAATTAATCAAATTTAGTAAATAAATACCCTAATAAGAGAGTTACGATTAATTAACCGGTGTTATTAACCCTCATTATTAACGCAACCCTCAACCATTATATGACCACATTAGCTCTTTGGAATCATTAGCTTAAGCTCTTTTTCAGTTCATTTAAGAAAGGCAAATCAAAAGTGGATATTAAAACATGTAATAAATAAATTTTTAGAAAGTATATGCGAAAATGTTCTATCGTTTATAACTTCGATAAAAATAGGTCTTTGAAAATTTATTATTGTCACTATTTTCTATCTTATTAAATGACAAAATTTTTCTAAGCATTTTTATTATTCTTATACTTAGAGTAAAGCGGAGACACTTAAACTGAAAAAGTGTTGTTTAACTTGGATTAATGATATTGGAGAATGATATGATAGTTTTAGTTTCTGCAATATTTTTTTTATTTTTTTTATTAAAAATATATATTTAGATAAAAATTTTCTTATAATGTTTTAGTCAATCGATGTGTCTTTCAATACCATGTGTTCAATTGGCCTAAGTGAGCAGATAACTTGTTTTACAAGAGTTTTTAGTTTTGTTTTAACAGGATGGTCTGTTATCAATACCCTTAATCTGAAAGATGCTTCCCACAGCAGCCCGTTGAGAGCCAGGGAGATCAAAGATTTGTCAAACGGCTTGACAGTTCCAATATGATCAGAAGTGTACAAAAGTCCACAAGAAATGCATAAAAACAAATCATAAGTGAAATTTGAAACAAAATCTTGAGAATATAATACAAAAATACAAAAACTCATAGTAAACTGGTCAAACAGCAATTTCATGAAACTAACTCAATGTAAAAGAAACATTTGAAATAAAAGAAAACAACGCCCTCTTTTAAAATGCGCAGTAGGGAAAAAAAAAAGAATAGGAAAGGTAAAGATTGCGTAACAGATTAATATAATGCTTAACTGGGGCTGCTCAGTCAAGACTTTAATTTCGCCATGTTAAGAGAAATAAAGAATATCATTAACTCTCAAATTTCTCAAAAAACTATTCGCAGCTTCCTGAAAACATTCAACGTTATTGTAAATTTTTTTAAATCTAAGCAATTGAGAAAAAACTAAATTTTTAAAAATTTTATTGCACAAATTAGTATTAAAGTTACAAATTTTTTTTTTTTTTAAATTTAAAAGCCTTTCGTTTATCAAAAAACACCAATCTTAATTATTTTATCAACAATATCAATTTTAAAATCTAAATATTCAACATTTAAGCAATTCTCATTAGTTTTTTTCAAAACCAAATGTTTGGGATAAGTACTAAAAATAAAATCATAACTATCATAATAAAACAAAATCAAATCATCAGTATATCTAAAAGCTCTAAAATCATTACTCAAGAAATTTGGCTTCAAAAAAATGTAAAAAAGTATTAGCAAAAGCACCAGAAAAGGAATTACCTCGTGGAATTCCAATAATTTGTTTATAGAAATCCAGACCATTATAAAGTACATTCTCAAAAAAATTAAACCTACATAAATCCAACCAATAAGATTTATCAATTTTCTCATTAAATAAATATT